GTTCCTGAAGTTTTTGGAACCAATTTGAAAATCCTGGAGTTTGCCTGACGTTCACCAAAATTTCCAGAAGTTTTCGGAACTTCCCTTTTGTTCCCGCAGTTTTCCTATAAAACTTCCTGAAATTCTCAGTACTTCTTTTCATTCCTCAGACTTTCCTGAAGATTTCTATTGTTTCCTTAAGCTTGCTAAAATTAATGGAACTGTCCAGAAGATCTTTAAACTTTCCTTTAAACATAGATCTTCTGTGTAGCTTTCTTAATGTTTTAAGTTCATTCTCTGAAGTTTTTTACTATCCTTAAATTTTCGGAACTTCTTGATGGTTTCCTCTATTCTACTGAAATAAATGGAACTGCCATAAAATTCTACAAACGAACCTAAAGGTTTAGGAACGTCCCTCAAGTTCTCACAGTTTTCCTGATATTCATGCAACTGCCCTAACATTTTCAGAACTTACCCGAAGTACACGTAACTTACTCATAGGTCATTAAGCTTAAATTATCCTGAATTTAATGGAACTGCCCTGAAGCTATTAGATTGCACTGGAGCTGCCGAAACTTACTCTTAATGATCTTTTAACTTCCCCACATTTTTATCAATCAGAACTTTTTTGTTTCTGATGTTAATAGATCTACCGTATTAAATTCGACCAACCGAGCTTGATACATTCACAGGGGGAACGACACTCATTTGGATGTTTTTTTTCAGTCTAGTAATTACTTGGGATTTTCGGGGAAAAACATAATTGATGGGATTTTTTGAGTGTGTCGTGTTGACGAAAATAGAGCAGGGATAGAAAAAATAGATGGGAATAGATTAGGCAATTGATGTGAAGTGAGGGATGTTAAAATTTTTTAGAGGGATACGAGTCTGAACGCGAAGAGGATAGGTGTAAAAAGAAGACAAATTTGCTGCAATGAAGCGTCCATGAATTACGTTACGCTTATAGGGGGAGAGGGGGTCACCTATATCGTTACGAATTATACATAGGGGAGGAGTAGTAAAGCTTTGTGTTACGTAAAAAAGAGAACATTTTGTTTTTTTTTTCGTTTCTTGATGTAAAGTTTGAAAATACAGGTCTTTTTTGACGTTTTTGGTAACAACAACGAATGCTGTCATCACTAAATCTTGCTTTGCAAAATGGATCTGTTTTAATTTTATAAATTGAGATTTTTGCTATCCTTGAACTTTTGAAAAGGAGGTACTCGATAGTACCATAGAGGTAACTCTAAGACCACTGGGTCCCGAAGAAAATCATTATTATTTTTGGCTCACTCAGTACCAGAACAACGGTCCCAAGCAGTCCCAAGCTATTTCACTCACCCCTGCATGTTCTGCATGAATCCACACACCCCTGATGTTATCTGTCAAACTTTCATAGCGAATCAAAACAAACATAGTGTAGTAATAGAATTTCAACTAGAATAGGGTACGTTAATCGTTTGCTTGGGACCTATAGGCTACTAAAGTGGTGAGCCAATTTAAAATCGTTAGTTTCGTATTGATTGTTGATAGTACGCTGATCTTTTGTTTTTGTTTTGAATATTAATAATATAATTAATTACCTAAAAATCAGGGTTATAACATGTTATCCAGCATTTTACGAGCGCTAATGGCCGCCACAATCTGACTGAGTTTTTGGTAGGGAACATATGATTTGACGTTTGGGTTGTGTCGTTTGACGTGTAAACGTTCAAATTTGAACATTTACACGTTAAACGACACAAGCCAAACTTCAAATCTTATGTTTCCTACCAGAAACTCAGCTCTGGCTGGCGGCCATAAGCGATCGTAAAATACTGGATAAAACGCTGTACAGACTGGAGAGTTATAACATGTTATAACGGTTGTCAAATAATTGCAATACAGAAACCACCATCAAGATAGCGCTATAACATGTTATAACCATAGAGGTAACTCTAAGACCACTGGGTCCCGAAGAAAATCATTATTATTTTTGGCTCACTCAGTACCAGAACAACGGTCCCAAGCAGTCCCAAGCTATTTCACTCACCCCTGCATGTTCTGCATGAATCCACACACCCCTGATGTTATCTGTCAAATTTTCATAGCGAATCAAAACAAACATAGTGTAGTAATAGAATTTCAACTAGAATAGGGTACGTTAATCGTTTGCTTGGGACCAATAGGCTACTAAAGTGGTGAGCCAATTTAAAATCGTTAGTTTCGTATTGATTGTTGGTATTAGCATAGAGGTAACTCTAAGACTAGAAGGTCCCGAAATAACGTGCTCAACTTTTTGGCTCAGCTCTGGTACTGTCTTCGGTCCCAAGCTAATCGATTCACCCCTCGAAACATAGGAAAAACCAATCACCCCTCATTTTATCTGTCAAACTTTCATAGCGAATCAAAACAAACATTGCGTTGTACTAGAATTTCGACTAGAATAGGGTACGTTAATCGTTTGCTTGGGAACAATAGGCTACTAAAGTGGTGAGCCAATTTAAAATCGTTAGTTTCGTATTGATTGTTGGTATTAGTACCTCTGGAAGTGAATTAACTACCTACGTGACATCGGTTTACTGGATCCCGGTAAATGTACCTTACTCTCCGCTTTGGACGTGAACTGCTTGCCTTCAATAAATTGAGTGATTTGACTAGTAACTTCAAAAGAGGTTTTCGTTGGACCGCTGATTCTGAACTGTATTGTTCCTTCATTGCTCAACATTTACCGTTACCGTTGGGACTTCCGGTCTTCTTTGCTTAGCCAACCGGTTAATCGTATTGAAGCGATACTTCTAGATTATTATTACGCCTATACTGTGGGCTCATAGAACAATAAAACCATAGAGGTAACTCTAAGACTACTGGGTCCCGAAGAAAATCATTATTATTTTTGGCTCACTCAGTACCAGAACAACGGTCCCAAGCAGTCCCAAGCTATTTCACTCACCCCTGCATGTTCTGCATGAATCCACACACCCCTGATGTTATCTGTCAAACTTTCATAGCGAATCAAAACAAACATAGTGTAGTAATAGAATTTCAACTATAATAGGGTACGTTAATCGTTTGCTTGGGACCAATAGGCTACTAAAGTGGTGAGCCAATTTAAAATCGTTAGTTTCGTATTGATTGTTGATAAAACCGAGCCTGGTTATTGGGTAACACAAAATACTAAAGTAGAACATTCTACCAACATATAGAGTCCAAGAGATTCCTTCAAAAAGGCACTATATATGCGACCGAAACTTCGGATGAAATCCAAACAGATATTTTGAGAGGAACCAGTCGATCACAATCCTCTTATTGAGTTTAACCGGTATTAACAGAGAAATAAGACGCGTTAACCACGAATCCTTGGGAATGATCGTGACACGCTTCATATGGATGACGAATCGTCCTCATCTCATCCTCAGAAAATGGTACCCATTATTTTAATCGGCATCCTTTTGAAAAATTCCCCTCACAAAAAGGCTTTTCATGTACTTCCAGAGGGTAGGGGGAGAGGGGCAATTTAATTATTACTAAAATGAACGAAATTTACGATGTGCGCTTCCATCGTGCAAACTTTATTTTGATTGCCGAAGCATACACTCAAAAAATTTACCACATAGGTATCTAATGGATAAAAACCATGTGAATTTCACATAGCTAAAAATCCCACCACAAAATCACATGAATATCAGGAGGACGATGAAAGTCATGAAAAAAGTGTCGGAAAAGCATTAGAAAATTAATCGTTAAACTCTTTCTTGATAATGTTGTGGCCCTGAAAAGGGCCATTTTTCCAACGCGCTCGGCGTAGTTGCCCTTGCGGAGCATACGGTGAATACGACCGACTGAGAACTGCAGCAGCTGGGCATTCCATGACGGCGGCCCAGTATACCGGAGCACTGGCACCAACGCACTCGGCGTAGTTGCCCTTTCGCCCCCAGGCTCTGCTGCCGCTGCTCTGCTGCCGTTGATCTGCTTCCGCTGCTCTGGTACTGCTGCTCTGCTGCTGGGTCGACGATCGGATAGACAATGATGGAACGGGCGACCTTGTTGGACACTTATATAGTAGAACAGAAAATATCAGAGGTGTCAGATACTCGCATCTGATGTCTCGGTTGGAGAAAGTATAAGAATATAAAAAAATCAATCGATTTTCACCATCTTTAGACAATGGTTTACTTTTAACCATTTTTCAATAGTTTACAAAATGAAATCAATAATTTTGAAACATTCAGCAAATTGCTAGAAATATTTCCAATCGATTGATGCCATTATCTCGTAAATCTATCGAAAGAGGTTGAGTTATTATCGTTCAAAATCTTTTAATTTTTCGTAACTCATCCAAAATGACTGTTTTCAATTTTGTACCCCCGTATGTTGCCGAAAGACGTTATCCAACGTCAAAAATGACAAAATGATACGCACTCTTTGCCGAGGGGGGCGACTCTATCTACGATGCAGAAAAGATTGTGTTTTGCTGTGGCTAGTGTACACACGCTGAGTAGATATAAGGAAGATTTATGTCGATTTTGAAGATTTCCTGCAAAAAGATGAAGCACGATGCAAGTAGATGCGAGAAATGAAAGATGATTTTTTTGAAGATTGATTCGCTAGTGTGAGATTTTTTGAGCATCTAGAATTGAGATTTAGATGTGTCGCCCCCCCGCTCTTTGCACATGTGCACTGTCAAAGAATCATTGTACACAAAATCAACTTTGTTCAAATCAAAACAAAAAAACTAACCCATCTTCCAAGAAGCACAAGCTTCCAAGAAAATTCTATTACAGTGAACCACATTATTTAAATGGATTTCTTCGCCAGTTAGTCGTCTGTCACTTCGTTTGTAATTTTGTATCTACTTTTTGCTATTACATAATTATTTCATTCATCAGCTTTGAATTACATTGATCGATATTACATTTTTTTTTTGCTGTGTCTTCGTTCTAAATATTTTTATCGTTCTGATCGTTTGACTGGTATGTGTGGCGGAAGGGGGAATGTTTATGTTTAGTTGCAGATGCATTAATGTTGGAATCAAACTTAACAAAATTTATTGAATAAAGTTTAGCAGTTTCCCTTCTTTGATTCATCAACCAGTGGAATGTTCTGTTCTTTCTGCACGAAAAGCGCTTCCAATTTAGTAACAGTATGTGATAGTGTAATTAATTCAGTCAAAATATAATATTATGATTGACTTGTTTTGCATCCCTGTTTCTAAATGTAGCATTCATTATGCGGCTGCTGTTTGAAGCATCTCGAATGCTACGAAGCAACTGTGGCCAATCGATTGGCAGATCATGCAAAGAAGATCATCGTACCGGATGAAGATGCTAATGGGAAGGTCGATTGCGAAATCTGCCTGGAGAAGTACCCGGAAAATGAATTTGAGGAACACCGGGAGATGTGCACGGCACGATTGGTGTTCCACTGTGCCGTTTGCGATGGAGACTACGTGAGCAAGGAAGGGCTGTGGAATCATCTGGATTTGCATGATGTAAGGAAGAAATTCTAGTATCATATAATTTTCGATGTGCTATGCAAATGGTTTCTATCAACAGGTTGCAGATGCAAGTAAAGAATCATACTACCGTGAGACGAGAGCCACGTACAAACTACACAAATGTGGATTGTGCAATGATCAACGTGGTTATCAGGAGAGTCTGTACTGGATACACGTTCACGTGAGTGATGAATTTTAAACAATAATTGATTGGTCGTACAACAATATTGGTTTGTGTTGTAGGAAGATCATGATGGGTTCTTTCTGCAGTGTTCGGAGTGTGGCGATAACTTTCGTTCAAAAAAGTCCAAGAATGATCACGCTCTAAGCCACTGTAAAGCTACTGTAGAACAAACGGTGGATCACCAAGTTAGTAACATAGTTCATCCGATTAAAGTTGAAACCCCGGCTTTAGATAGCTGTGGAAATTGGCATCAATGCGGAAATGCTGTTGAAGGTATGAATAGTAGTATGACTGCGGACAACTGCGGCAATACAGAAGAAATATTCTGTGAGAATAGTCCTAGTGAATCATCAGAAACTAAGTGTTCCTATTGTGACAAAATGTTCCACGATAAAACGTTATTAACCTGTCACGTCGAAAATTGTCATCTTCCAAATGTGTGCAATATCTGCGGAGAAACTGTTTTTGGTCGAACCAGATTCCGTTATCATAAGGTAGTCGTAATCCTAGGGGTAGCATTTTTCAATCAATTTAAATATTATTTTTTACCGTTCGATACAGTTGAAAAATCATACGGAACCAAAACATAAATGTCCGTACTGTCCGATGGAGTTTCACCGGAACAATAATTTTCAGCGTCATATGTCCAGACATGTCGAGGAAAGAAATTTTCCCTGCGAGTTATGTGGCGCTAAATTTAAATCTTTGCAATACGTGGCATTGCACAAAAAACGAAACCATGAAGTGAAGAAACTGCAGACTAATCCTCCGGATTGTAACGAGAAGAACTCAGTTGATGAATCGTCACAACACTCTGACCATGTGGCCTCAGATGACGAGCCTTCCACTATTTATCATTGTCCAGTTTGCGATGTAAAGTTCGACGACGAGGAACTATTTGCTCAACACGTTGGCGGAGTCCATCAACTGACCTTTTGTAGCATATGTGGCACAACTTTCGCCAGTGTCGATCAGCTGAATGAACACAAGGTATGTCTAGCAATAGACTCATATTCGTTGGTTCAAATTAGTTCGTCTCTTTTGTCTTTATAGGAAACGCATCATCCAACAGTCAAATATAGCTGTAGCCAGTGTTATCAGACGTTCGATAAGAAAACATCTTTCCAAGGGCATTTGGCAGAGCACGAAAAGAAGGCAAAATTCCAGTGCGGATTGTGTGATCACCGATTTGAAGACCAAACCACGCTTCAAAGTCATATGGTGAGCGACCACAATACCGTTATGAACCCGGATGGGATCCAGTGCACATGTCCAATTTGTGGAGAAACTATTCCTAGTATTCTTATGTTTCGACACCACAAGGTTTGTTGGCTACTCAATCGAAAAGCCGGTTTCCTAAAGCATGTTTCTTTCACAGCTAAAATTCCACACAGAACCGAAATATCAATGTTCGCATTGCCCTCGAAAGTTCCTCACAAAGGGTAACTACATGTGTCATGTCGTGGCCCACAAAAGAAAGAGGATATTCTCGTGCAGATTCTGTAGTGTTCGATACAAACGCCTACATATGCTAGAAGCTCACATGGAGCGACGGCACGGCAGCGAGTTGAAAGATGCCGACCAGTCAGGACAAGTTATTACTATCAACAATCAAGACATGGTTCTGCAGAACGTTGAGCCTGAAGACTTGGATCATGAAAACTCGTTGAGTGCATACGACGAAGGAGAAGGGGATGAAGATGTCGAAATCAAGGAAGAAATTCTAGTTGAAGAAGCTTCAATAGCACCTTCAAGTTTTAACTCGACGCAATGTTCGCAATGTCATCAGATGTTCGGTGATGCAAATGAACTCCACGATCACCTTAAAGTCAGTCATCAATCGATAAAGTGCGCAATCTGTGAACTTGACTTTGAAAATCAAGTCAGATTAAGGTATCACAAGGTTAGTTCGAGCAGTGCACGTATAGAGCTGCTTGCGAAACTTGATTATTTCTTTGCTTTAATACAATTTTGCAGCTGGTTTCTCACACTGAACCACGGTATGAGTGTTCGCACTGTGCAAAGAAGTTTCATGTTAAAACCGCGCTTGTTCGCCACGAATGGACGCATCGGAAGGACGATGGTGCTGAAAATTCGTTGAAACCTGTCATCAGAACCCGCATTAGGTCCAAGTTCGCTGCACCGAAGACAACGACACGTGAAGCAGACCAATCGACCGGTATTGAATGTAATCTGTGCTCGAGTAAATTTCTAACTGAAGAGCGGCTACAACGGCACATTGACTATACCCATTCCAAGGCAGAGGTGCAATGTACAATCTGCGAGCTCACTTTTCCTTCGCAGTATAAAATGTATTATCACAAGGTGTGTAGATGCTTAGTAGATGTTAGTGCCTAATCGATAATGTTTCACTGTGTCAAATTCTAGACAAAAGTTCACACCGAACCCCAACATAAGTGTCCACATTGCGAAAAGAAGTTCCATGTGAAATACCGCCTTCAGGAGCACTTGGTTGTCCATTTGACGTCGGGGGATAATCGCAATCTGAACGGCTCCGAATGTCCTGCGAAAGTGAGAGAGGAAATGTGATGTGGTATGCGGTATGGATGATATTTTCTAATCAGTTTTTTTGTCTGAGTAGAACTCACTTAAATAAATTCGGTGATACGGTAGATGTACTAGTCATGGCTATACATTCCTATTATTAATATCAGTAATAGGAATGTCCTATGCAATTGTCAACCCATCTACCTAACAAGTATTTTAATTACCTCGAATAATTGTACTTTACTAATAATTTTGTGAAACTCCATCTAACCATATACATACATATTATCAAACCAGTTCGCTCTCAGCTGCTGTCGAGATTGGCAGCAGCAGTTGTATCTTTTAGTGTGGGTAAAGATCGGATCATGCGATCGTTTGTGAAGAATACGGTCTGCTTCGATTTTCCCAATGCGAAGTTTACCTACGACGAGATTGCCAATTTAGACAAGAGACCCATTTGACGGAATGCTGCATTTCGCGGAAAATCCGGGATTGCATTGTAGAAATGCGAATTATGAATTTAAAAGAATTACGAATACAGGATAACTCTAGAGGAAAATTCTTCTGAGAGTTATATAATTCACATTACTTATTCTTATTTCAAGCCGGAAACGCAAGAAGTTTAGAATATACAGTAAAACTGAAATAAACTGAACATCGGACTTCACATTGTGCTCACAAGTTTCCCATATTTAAAAAAGCACATGAAAACTCTAAAGAAGGAAAATTCTTCAAAACTATAAAAATCAGATTTTACATTTTGTTATATCCAAGCTAGAAGATCACAAGTTTCCCATAATTTAGAATGCACAGGAATTCTCCAAAGAACTGCCATTGTTTCAAAGAAGTACAATTCTCCTACTGTGTAAAAATCAGATTTCACATTTTGTTTATTTCAATCTACTAATTATATTTAAAAAAAAAAATGCCAAAAAGAAATACTTCGAGTTATTAAAACATTCCGCCAAATAAAATTCCGCGAAATGGGTTATTCTACCAAATGGAACCCCGCGAAATGTACTTCCGACAAATGAGTCTCTCTGCGAAATGCGTTAGGGATTTTTTCAGTTTCCTTCATTAGTTTTCATTTGATTTTGTAAAATTAAAAAAAAAGGGAATATGAAAATCCAAAAGATTATTAACTTTAGCAGCACATTGTTTTTGAAACAAAAATAATATTTTTTTAGTTAAAAAATTGAGTGTGTTATTGAATCAAATTATGTTGCTTAGCTTAAAAAAATCATAACATACATTCACAGACAAACAGACAAATCTTTCACCTCAATCGTCCAACACGCATTTAATCGCATTTAACGTTCAATTTAAATATTATTAGTTGCGCGAATACCCCACCACATCGCTGGCATCGGATCATTTTGAAGTTTCTATATATATATTTCATCGAACTTGTATACAAGGCAGGGGGAACGACACTCATTTGGATGTATTTTTTCAGTCTAGTAATTACTTGGGATTTTCGGGGAAAAACATAATTGATGGGATTTTTTTGAGTGTGTCGTGTTGACGAAAATAGCATAGGGATAGAAAAAATAGATGGGAATAGATCAGGCAATTGATGTGATGTGAGGGATGTTAAAAAATTTCAGAGGGATACGAGTCTGAACGCGAAGAGGATAGGTGTAAAAAGAAGAAAAATTTGCTGCAATGAAGCGTCCATGAATTACGTAACGCTTATAGGGGGAGAGGGGGTCACCTATATCGTTACGAATTATACATAGGGGAGGAGTAGTAAAGCTTTGCGTTGCGTAAAAAAGAGAACATTTTGTTTTTTTTTTCGTTTCTTGATGTAAAGTTTGAAAATACAGGTCTTTTTTGACGCTTTTGGCAACGACAACGAAGGCTATCATCACTAAATCTTGCTTTACAAAATGGATCTGTTTTAATTTTATAAATTGAGATTTTTGCTATCTTGAACTTTTGAAAAGGAGGTACACGATGGTACGCTGATCTTTTGTTTCTGTTTTGAATATTAATAATATAATTAATTACCTAAAAATAAAAAATACAAAACGAAATCATACATTAATTAAATGAAAAGGCGGGGGAGGGGGGTTTATAGAGCGTTGCGTAATAAATAGAGGGGGGTCATTTTCATTGTACCGTTTTGTTCCAAACATATTGATTTTTAGCGAAACGGAATTAATGGACACCGCTCGGGACACCGCCCAACTATAATAATCAAAGCTCACAGCTCAAGTGCAGAAAACGGTTCCGCACCGAAAAGGTCGAAACTGCACAGTAGGATGAACGGGTGATGGCGATGGATTACAAGGTTCCAGTTAATATTCCCAGCTGTATTTGAACGGGAATTTGATCCGCAATATTCTCGCACAGAAATACATCACCCGGTGGGTGTCTTACTTCACCATTAGCTCTTTCTTATCCGAACCCTTGACCAGCAGCAGAGACGAGTAAAACTTGGGCCGAGTGGAAGAAACGACCTGAATTCCTTTTCCACCTGCTTGTCGTAGGGGGTTTCATTGGTAAGGCTTTTCCCGGGGCTAGAATCAGCAGTTCGAACGAAATCAATAGTTGCTTCGCGCCTGTTCGGTAACTTCCATGCTACAACACACAGAGACCCGGGCTCTTATCCGTCGAATTCGATCGGTTTGAGTCCGGGAAATGGATGTGCGTTGCCGTCTCCTCCGTGATGCACTTGATGTTTTTTGCCCCCAAGACCGATTATAGACGAATGGTCCGTCATCTTTTTTTAGTTTTCGCACCGATTTTTTACCGGCATGCTCAGCTGACATACGTGGTGTTTGTTGTGGAGAGTGTTGGAAACTGACAGTGAGTATGGCAGAGTGCTTCGCGGTCGACCTGAAAACTTCGAGAAACTGCACGGCTTGCTTGACAATTTGTGTGCATGCAGAAGGGATAAGTTGGGAATAGAAAGAATAGATAGGATGGATTGAAATTTTGTGCACGTTGAAAATTATATGAGAGGTTTGGGTAAAAATGGGATAATCCTGAAGTGTCGTTCCCCCTGATACAAGGTATTTTCATTGCTTGCACTGAAGAATTATGGATTAAAATATTTTCCTTCACTCAAAAAATTCCACACGTAATCGTAATGTGTCTCCCACTTAATTTTTCACTTATTGTGAAACACATCCACTTCATGTGTGAATCTTATGTAATGAACCATGCCTGAACTCTATTGATTTGAATTGTGACACACTTGGATGCTATGTGTCTCACATGGTGATATCAATAGCATTGCACATCATAGTTTGTTCTACATTTATCGACATCTACTTTACCGACGCTAAAAATGAATCCACAAAATATATAAAACCGCCTCGCCGGGACCTCCTCGGCAAAGCTGTATCACCTGTATATAGTTAGTGTGGAATAAAGAATGAGTAGAGTCGAGTGAGCGAGAAGAGTTTAAATTCATATGAAAAATCATATAAAATTAACGTGATCGCATAAATGTTACACGGCGAATGAGAACGACACAAATTTGAGTTTAGTTCACTCATAATCGCCAAAAGTGCAGGAACTCAGCGATGAGTAAAATTTGTCTCATGGTTTCCTGTGGAAAACCTAAAAAATCTGCCGGAAAATGAGGAAATTGACGAAAATTGTATTCAGTCTCGGAGTAGTACCAATAGACTAAGTGAATCCAATCTTTACTTTTCTCAAATTCGGCAATTTTTCCCTGGAAAATCCTGGAAAACATGCAGTTTTGGCGATTATGAGTGAACTAAACTCAAATTTGGGTCGTTCTCATTCGCCGTGTATGTGAAATTCAGATGAATTCCATTAATTTTTCGGTGTACCGTAACCTGACTAAAGCCCTACACCGAAAATAGTTTTCAAGCTTCCATTGGAAACGCAAATGATCTTCATCCAATAAACAAAATTAATGGAATTCATTCGAATTTCACATAACATTTGTGTGATCACGTTAATTTTATATGATTTTTCATATGAATTTCAACGGCCTCATAATATTCATGTGATTTTGTGGTGGGATTTTTAGCTATGTGATCACATGAAAGCTATGTGAAATTCACATGGTTTTCATCTATTAGAGGTTGTATATAGAGGTTGCTAAAGTGTGATTGTGTCAGTGATTTGTTTTCATCGGGAAAATTGCAATATTACATCAATGGATGTAATTTTGTTCGCAAAATCGATGTACATCGAACAACGTTATATTATACCTTGTACAGACATACAAAGTACACTGTTGTACTACCGTTGTATTTCTTTAAGCTTGTACCTCAAATTGTACCTTTTGAGGTACTCGATTAAAGGAGTACAACGGTACTGCTTTGTATATGTCTGTCAATGGTATTACACAACCGATGGATTGACCTGGTTGCAGCAGTTTGGATGTAATATTCAACAACTTTTTTTTCTGTACGTGCGTACGATAAACGTCAGCAATCTCTACACTGAACCAAAACACCCGCCGCCTCCTGAATGATTTTTGCCTCACCCAAGCCCCACCCGCATAAACGCGAACCATAAATTGACCTTACCTAAAATGGTTAAAAATTGTTTATAATCCCTGCTAAACTTTAACTGAAATGGTTATGGAACTTTACATGAACGTTTAATGATAAAGTTTCAACCTTATGTATTATGGTTTTTTGGAACTGGACTTTACAAATAATGGGTTGTTAAGAACCATTACACAGAAAAAAAAGTTGTTGAATATTACATCCAAACTGCTGCAACCAGGTCAATCCATCGGTTGTGTAATATACACTCAAAGATAAATTAAATCATAAAAGCTTAAAAAGTATGCAGTTTCCCGCTTCACCTTATTGAGTCCGAGCCATGATTACTTCGGCAATAGTCATGCATGATTAAAATCGAAATAATCTTTCCAGTATTAAATTTTATTCTTTTTGAATACTGATATATAATCAAAAAAGATTAAAATTCAATCAAAAATTATTAAAATAAAATCTAAAATGATTAAAATTTATTCAAAAAAAGATAATCTACAATCTAATCAACCATGATTAAACTATGATTAATATCAGATGCTTATTTTTTAATCATTCGATATGATTAAACTGAGTTTAATGTCAAATTGATTAAATTTCAAGCAAAATGGGAATAGTTCAATTTATCAGTGTAACGTTGTACGATGTACATCGATTTTGCGAACAAAATTACATCCATTTATGTAATATTGTAGCTGCTTTTTGCTATTACATCATTATTTCATACATCAACTTGAATTACATTGATCGATATTACATTTTTTTTGCTGTGTACCATTCCAAATTCTTGTTTTCTCCATACATTTTCAGAAAGAGAACTATATAAGAACGTTTTTACTTATGATTTGAGAACATTAATGGTAATGGTTATGGTAGTCAGTAAGGTCCATTAATGGTTTTGTATTATCGCTCAACTTTACGTGGAATATATCGTGAATTGGTAATCAGTAAATTACAGGCAACCAATTCGCGATATATTCCACATAAAGTTGATCGATGTTACAAAACCATTCGTGGACCTTACTGACTACCATAACCATTACCATTAAAGTTCTCAAACCATAAGTTAAAAGGTTCTACTATAGTTCTCTTTCCGAAAATGTATGGAGAAAACAAGAATTTGGAATGGTAATGGTTCTTAACAACCCATTATTTGTAAGGTCCAGTTCCAAAAAACCATAATACATAAGGTTGAAACTTTATCATTAAACGTTCATGTAAAGTTCCATAACCATTTCAGTTAAAGTTTAGCAGGGATTATAAACAATTTTTAACAATTTTAGGTAAGGTCAATTTATGGTTCGCGTTTATGCGGGCATGCTTATAATCAGATGATTTTAAGAAGATCGTCATTCAATTGGGTTCTTTAAGGGTATTGAGATAAATGCATCTTCGTAATCTTCATTAAAAATGGAACCCAAACCCAAAATTTCATCAATTTTGGTACACTGGAACTATTTTAAATAAGTACGATTACATTTGCAAAAATCACCTTATTAGCGCCCCTCGGTGTCACTTTGGATGGGAGCGAGCTGTCAGTTTGTCAGTTTAGTGTCAAACAGTGAAGTTATTATTTTGCTTTAAATCTTGATTTAAAAATCGAGATAAAAGTGTGTGGGTTCGAAAAAAAATATCGCTGTGCTCAGAAAACGAAGCTCTTTCAGATAGTATATAAAAACCGATATATTTTTCAAAATTAAAGAACCCAATTCATATTTTGACAGAATCAAGTCAAATGTATGAATATAATTTAAAATCAGCGTTATAATAATACATCAATCAAACCAAAATAGAACAAGATGTGAATGATTTGCATGAGCATGAGCATGATTGACCGCCCACGGTTGCTACTCTGTTATTGCCAGACCAGCTGTAATTACACAGAGAAGCAATCATCCTCAATGTGTAAAAACTGGTGATCTCGAATTAGGTAATACCAGCGCCAGCCGCTCCTGAACGCAGGTCAAGAAAGGAATGGGTAGGAATGTGTTGACGTGACAGCAATGAATGTGTTGGGTTTGCAGCAGGGTTCGTTTTGGTAAACGATAAGCTGAATTGATGTCCTAACGATCGTATAACGCGAATGAGCTTGGGATTGAACCCACGGTCTTCTGCTCAGTAAGCAAAAACGTTTGCTACCAGGCAAACGATCTCTTTTTTAATCATCGAGTTGCTATTATTACCATGTAGTCATATTAACAAATAAAACGATTGACGAATCTTGATGTGGATGGGCTTGAGATTAGACTCAGGATGTTCTGCTCAGTACGCAAAAACGGTTGCTCTAAGGCCACCGAGCCCCTCATATCACATCATACCGTTACTCAAGCTGTTATAACTATTAGAACCCGGCACCGACGACAACGAAAGGTTTAGCAAAACAAGCGATCTTACCATACATTTTTAATATGAAAGAACCTGGGACCGCGTTTTGCTGCTCAGTAAGCAAGTCACTGCAACCGACGATCTTTCAAATCCGAAAACAAAAGGCTACGAAAAAGTATTTAGGCCTTGATTAAATTCCACTATCACGCTTTACGCATTGTTCAGGCAATCATAACAAGCTATGACCGACGTGACGATTGTTTAAAGTAATATGAGTAATGTGAGTATTATTGTACAAATTACAGTACATTGTAGAAGTTACCTCATTATTTTGCAGCGCCAGCGGTTTTTATTTCTGGATCTTGAGTTGTTTTGGTGATATACTTACTTGCGACATACTATTTTGGGCGCCCATATAGGCGTGTACTATGTAGGGTAGCTCATCTGAGCGAACAGCATCCTAATCAGTAGATAAAGCAATGTTGTCTCTAGCCGTTCTGATCCTGTCTCGGTAACATCGATTTCTTTCAGCATCAGTTTTCAGCTGCTTCTTCGGAGGTTTGTCCGCTTGCAGTTCCTTTGAGCGCTTACTTGATCCACGCTTGTATTGGGTTACCAAATGCTGCGACATGGCTGTATCGATAAACTCACAAACAGTTTCTCAAATATCACTTATTTCGCAATACAATTGTAGAATTTTGAAGAGGTTGAACCATAGAGGTAACTCTAAGACCACTGGGTTCCGAAGAAAATCATTATTATTTTTGGCTCACTCAGTACCAGAACAACGGTCCCAAGCTATTTCACTCACCCCTGCATGTTCTGCATGAATCCACACACCCCTGATGTTATCTGTCAAACTTTCATAGCGAATCAAAACAAACATTGCGTAGTACTAGAATTTCGACTAGAATAGGGTACGTTAATCGTTTGCTTGGGACCAATAGGCTACTAAAGTGGTGAGCCAATTTAAAATCGTTAGTTTCGTATTGATTGTTGGTTGAACTGCCTATTAATTTTGGTATTCGGACATTAAATCTGTGTTAGGGAAAACACATCAATCACAGAATCTGAGCATACCGGACGGTACCTACGTTAATGCATTTTGATGCAAATTTTAAGCTCCTCTTATTAATAACATTGAGGATTATTTTAATGCAATTTTCAATAGTAACCTTTAGAAAAATGATGGCCTTAAATTTAACAGATTCGCAGGAAAAATTTCCTATTGATTGGTGTATTAAGAACAAGATGTGAATGATTAGCATACATAAACTTTTCAACTCATCAGTCTGGTAATGGAAGAAAATCAGATCGTATTTTAATGATGTCCATATATATCTTCTTCTTCTTCTTCGCATTTCAAGCTTATTGCACATCGCATATTAGCTTATTGCGTGCTCTCAACTTAGTTTTCTAGATGCACTTCCACAGTTATTAATTGAGAGCTTTCGATGCCTGTACCATTTTTGTATTGGTATTATTGTGTGGCAAAGTCCAATCATACTTCTATGCCCAGGGAAGTCGAGAAATTTTTCAACCCGAAAAATTCCTTGACCGGACCGAGAATCGAACCCAACCACCTCCAGCATGGTCTTGCTTTGTAGCTGCGCCTTTACCGACTGAGCTAAGGGAGGCCCCATGTCTATATCTATGTAGTTGGCTTAATAGAGGTATTTGCTTTTCAGAAATCTTATTGAAATAAATAATTACACAACCATTTCAATCAGTTATAAGCATTACTAAGTAATAATCTAGGTAATAATCGAAAAAATGCTTTTTCGCTTTTTTCTACTGTTGAGATTACATGAGTCATCTCTAATGAAATGGTTGTATAAATAAATGTTTTTATCATATTTAAATACTCGTGCAGTCACAATGCTGTTTGTTCGCCACCATTTGCTAACTGATATGAAATAGAATTATTTTGATACAGGGATATTCATTTTGGTTCATATGAAAAACATACGCTTAATGTGCCTGTTAATATGTGACTGATTATCGGATGCATAGAAAAAACATTATTTTGAAATGTAAACAAAAATAACTTATTGCTGATCATAAAATCATTCGACTTGATTGTCATTCAATCTCAGGAATCATTAGTTTTGCTTGACACTGAATGAGATTTCATTCAACGGGCGGCGGGTGTTTTGGTTCAGTGTATACAGTAAAAGTATGGTCGTCTGTCAAAAATTGTTCCAATCGAACGAATCGAACCGTCAAAATGCACCGTTTTGTTCGATTGGAACAGCTTTTTTTCAGATACTTTAACTAGAGGGCTTTAAACCTGACCGCTTATTTCTTAAAAAAAAAACTGTTTTTGATGGACTGTTTTTGTAAAATGATCTTTAAATTTAGTAATAATTAACGCAGTGGAAACAAATTTACTAATCTACGGATCGTACTCCATGAAACGTGAACAACACTGAATAGAAGAAAAATACATCGCTTGGGTATAATGTCTTGTTCTTTCTGCAAAAAAAGTGCTTCCAAATTAGTTACGGTAAGTGAAGAAGAATCTGTGAATGGCTGCAACCGTACCAACATTTTATTTTATACATATCAGCACTCACTATGCGGCTGCTGTTTGGTGCACTTGGAAAGCTGCGCTGCAACCGCAGAAAAGTCCATTCCAGTCGTTTGGGAGGAAGATGCGGCTCGGAAAGTTGAGTGTGATATCTGTCTTGAGGAGTACCAGGAAAATGAACTGCAGCAGCATCGGGAGACGTGCATGCCACGGTTGGTGTTCCGGTGCTCCTTGTGCGACGAAGACTATATGAGTGAAGAAAGTGTGTGGAACCATCTGATTGAGCATCAGGTATGAGGAAGATTTTTATGTTTCATCGAATTCATGTCGTATTCAGAGGTTTCCATTAACAGATTGCACACGAGGACAAAGAATTGTACTACCGGGAAAAGAGAGTAACTTATAAACAACACAAATGTATCCTTTGCAATGATCAACGTTCTTATCGGGAAAGTAGCTACTGGCAGCATGTTCATGTAAGTGATTTGGAATTTAGATAGAATCGATTGTCATATCATTTGGTTCACTTTTCAGGAAGAACATGATGGGTACTACCTACGATGTTCAGAATGTGGTGAAAGTTTCCCATCAAAAAAACGTATGGCTGAGCATGGTCTTAACCATTGCAAATCTAGGGAACAAACGATAACATCTGAGTCTGGTGGATTAGAAATGGGTGATGATTATGCGAATACCAATATCAATGAGCATTCATCGCAAGAAAAGTCGAACGAAGCGTCTGAGAAGGATTTTGAAACGAACCAAGATCAGCAGTCGTCACTCGAAATCGAGGTAGTTGAATCCTATGGACAAAATTCTACGTTGGTTGAGAATTGTGACGATGGTCTTACTGATTGCAATCAAATCGGTGATGATGTGGACGAAGATGAATGCAAGGGGCATGCATCAGAAGAAATTTTGCAGCCCCCTGTTGAGAATTGTTCGAGTAGACCGTCCGATGCACAGTGTCCTCAATGCAACAAAGAATGTTCTAATGCTAGGGCACTCTCACGTCACATTAAGAGCACACATCAACCGGCCACGTGTGATGTTTGTGGGCTTTTTTTCAGCAGTGGTAACCAAGCTAATTATCATAGGGTTTGTTGTTTGAAACTTTACTATAAATATCTACATGATAATGCAACTTTTGTCTTTAGATAAGAAATCATTCAAAAAAGAACTACCAATGTTCGATATGTTTTAACACATTCAGATCAAAGGATTCTCTCGGGAAGCATGTAAGAGGTTTTCATTTTCATCGGCAAATAGTGGCTCAAACTGGCTCCTCCGACAGTGTCAAGAAGCAAGAGCCGAATAAAGCCAAGATATTGTGGAGTGTTAAGACTGATTGTCCAATTTGCCGGAAAAAGTTCAGCGATCAAAGTCAAGTTTCTCAGCACGTCGAGGAGATGCATAAGGTGACCATTTGTACCATTTGCAGGGAGATCTTCACCAATGCGGATGAGCTAAGCAATCACAAGGTTCGTATAGCGATAGACATTTCCCGTCTACCTTACCCTATAATGAGTGGGAGTTTGCGTCGGATTAATATTTTGTATTTTTTGCAGTGTTCAATGTGCCCTCACTGTAGTAAAGGGTGCTACAATCGCACACGTCTAATAACTCATATCGAGTTGTGTCATGAGATGATCACGTGTGACGTCTGCGGAGTTTCCGTTTCCGGTAGAAGTAAAATATGGCATCATAAGGTCGAATTCGTGACTATATATAAAAAAAATCAACAATTTCATTATTATCTTATCATTACAGATGAAAGTGCACTCGGCGCCGAAACTGAAATGCTCCCAATGTTCGAAGAAATTTCATTTCAAATGTGACTATAAGCGCCACTTGTCTTTGTGTGTGAAGAATGAATATAAGTGCAAATTATGTGGTTGCAAGTTGAATTCTTTCACCTTTGTCGCCACTCACATGAGAATAGTTCATGGTGTTACGAGACCCCAAGAAGCTCTCGCAAACCGCAACGATAAAAAGTACCATGACATTTTGGATGTGAAGGAAACATCGATGTTGAAATCTGTAGATCGAATGCCCCATGACCAATCTGAGCGTAGTTTTACCATTGAGGGTGATGATAAGGATGATACGCCTAAAGATGTCGCTAAGACAAACAATTCCATGTCCTCTCAAGTAAAAGAATTTAAAGGCAAGAATAGAAGAGTTAAAGTTGCAGCGAAAGTCTCGCAAGTTCTTGGTGGGACTACATCGAGTGCGAAGAAGTTTCACAATGAAGGTGCCTATAAACGTCATCTATCTAGGCATAATAAGATTCGAAACGTGTTCCCCTGTAAACTCTGTGGTCGCAAGTTTAAGCGTTTAGCTTACGTCAGGAAGCATATAAAACAGGTTCATTCTGTAAGAAAAACTCAAACCAATATTGCAACCAGCAAAGAACTGAACCAAGAACTTGATCTCAAAACGGAAATCTCAGTAGAGGAAACTCATCTACAACAAAATGAAAGTCAAGTTCGAAATGACGACATTGAAAAATTCATCTCAAAACATACTGTTTCCAATGCTTCTCAAACCAATACTGCAACCAACAAAGAACCGAACCAAATGGAAATCTCTGTAGAGGACACTCATCTACAACAGAATGAAAGCCAGTTTTTAAATGACGACATTGAAAAATTCCTCTCAAAACATACTATTACCAATACTGCAACCAACCAAGAACTTGAGCTCAAAATGGAAATCTCTGTAGAGGAAACTCATCTACAACAGAATGAAAGTCAAGTTCTAAATGACGACATTGAAAAATTCATCTCAAAACATACTGTTTCCAATGCTTCTCAAACCAATACTGCAACCAACAAAGAACTGAACCAAGAACTTGACCTCAAAATGGAAATCTCTGTAGAGGAAACACAACTACAGCACACACCTGCTGTTGTCAATTCTTCATTCCTTGAAAAGTGTCCCCACTGTGACAAAAACTTCAAGTACACATCTCTATCCCGTCACATCAATGATAACCACAAGATGCGCTTGTGTGATTTCTGCAGAGTTTCTTTTTCAAGCAAACGTCAACTCAATTATCATGTGGTTTGTATGGTAGATTTTTTTCATTGTTCATTATTTATAATGCAATTGTTCATTTCAGATGATTTGCCACACGGATCCGAAGCACAAATGTCCTCACTGTCCGCAGACGTTTCACGTGAAATCTACATATTTACGCCATGTGGTCACACATAAGAAATAAAACTGTGTAGCGAACGAGGGAAGGACGAAAAGAAAAAGAATAATAAAATGGGACAGTTCAAGACCAATAATTGAAATGACCTTAACTCCATTTTGTAAACACACCTTGTAAGGCCATTTTCTCGTGAACCGATACCTTCATTCGCAAACCTAAACCACAATAGGGTATAGGAGAATTTCCCCTACCTGTTAATTATGTTGGTTTGCCTTTGCGTACTTTGGTTCACGAGAAAATGACCTTACAAGGTTTGTTTACAAAATGGAGTTAAGGTCATTTTAATTGTTGGTCTTGAGTTGTTCTTTTAGTTTTTCTGTTATGATCACTTCATTCGTTTTGTTTTTGATGTATCCAAATCCAATATAGGTATACCCCATCAACTTTCATTGATTTTAGTGCCCATTTTATGGTTGGCTTACCACGAAACTGGCTCATTGAGATCAAAGAATTAGTTTAGAACTCGACAATAATAAATTGATTAATGTGAAGCCTAATGCCTATCTATTACTATGATCAAAAATCGAAATGAAAACATTGAACGAGATTTATCTGCCAAATTTGGATCGAAGTGTGCTCTGCTTCTCCATGAACGCGAACAATTTCCAAATGTTATTTTTCTGAATCGCGTTTTAGCTCAAAACAATGTGCCACTCGATAACATAGTTCTAGAAAAGAACTCTAGTGCAAAGGAAGTGCAAGTGAACGAGTATTGTCCTATGCATTCCAAAGTTTTTTTTTTATCAGTATCCTTTTCTTCAGAACTGTTATAAGGCGATTGGCAGGCTGGCGCGATGATTCTGATTAGAGGCGGATTGTGCAAAAGTTTCTTTGAAGATCGGATGGAATGTTGTGAAATGTTGATCTAGTCTTTTAAGTTTTTGCTTCACGGGCAAGCCGTCGTTCATTTGGTGAGTTCGTTCCAGTTTATATATTCACTTGTTTTGGTATCTAATATCAGTTTTCTACAACTTTGCCTTATACATCTAGAGCTGCTATCGTGCTGTAATTTGTTGAGAAATGTCCAGCGCGCTATTCTCAAGTGGTGGTAGGAATGGCCAAGTTCCAGCACATATTTGCCCACTGGTTCATTGGGCAAGATAGTAGTCCTAGTACTTTTGTCTCTGGGTTTAGACGTGATGCTTTTGTACTTGAAAGTTCCCTTTTTGTGATCATCATGGGTCTGAAGAGTTGTTGAGCTAATTTGGAATAGCTCGGAAATGTATTGGAATAGTCTTTGGTTCAACAGTAGTATGGTAGTACAGCAGGACAGTAGGAGTACAAAATTATGAAATTGGATGCATCTCATGAGATCTTTTCTTATTTTCATTGTATGCATACAAGTAAAACATGCCATCATACCATCTTTTGGTTTTATTATTCCGAAAAACATTATTTTAGCTGAAATGAGTCTTTGCAACCTTGGATTTCAGTAGAGAGAAATAGAACGAAAATCAGTATATTTCGTTCTATTTCTCTCTACTGAAATCCAAGGTTGCAACGACTCATTTCAGCTAAAATAATGTTTTTCGGAATAATAAAACCAAAAGATGGTATGATGGCATGTTTTACTTGTAACTTACAAGAGGGGTTACAAAGTATGCGTTGGAAACATAAAACCTGTAAATGTTGCTTTCTATGAGTCACAATCAGCGATTTGCTGATCACTGATTGAGTGAGTGAGTGAGTGAGTGAGTTTGTGAAAAATCGCTGACTGTGACTCTCATGAAGTGAAATAAACAGGTTTAATATGTCAAACACATTCTTTGCAACCTCTTCTTGTATCCTACCAATTCAAAATTTGATCATGGCATCTAATTATTTCATAATTTAGAAAAACATTGTTTTAGCTGAAATGAGTCTTTGCAACCTTGCTGAAATCTAGTCCTTACCTCTTCGTTTTCAGCGTTGGATAATTTCGCGGGATTTTATGAAGCTCACAAAAGGAAAAATTCCCGAGTCATTGTGAGTTTTCGCGAACCTTTCCTGTAGATTGATTAGAGACCCGTGTTTTCTCAGTTTTCATACAAGGGGAGGATAGAACCAGGGTTCCATTCTCCTACGTCCTTTTCTTCAAATTATCTCTCTTCAGAAAGTCAGAAACAGTGCACAGTGGTACAGGAGGGTGTTTTTCAGGTAAAAACTAAATAAGTGCATAAAGATGCAGTTTAATCAAGTTGGTGTCTTCAGACAAGTTTATATTTGAAGAAAGGCGCATCTGATGAAAGGGTCGTCCATAGTTTAAATCCCTTAGGACAAAAAATAAATAAAAATTCTAACTATTTTTCTTTGCGGTTTAGAAAAATAAAATGTTCCACAAAGTTGTAGATCTTATCATTACAAACTTTGCTGAAAACATCAATGGTTTAAATCGTCGTTTTCATTGAGATATGAAGTTTTTTTTTTTTTTTTTTTTTTTTTTTCTTTATTATAGAGATTTTTAGCCTGAGGCTAGTTCATCTCTTGAGATATGAAGTATTTTTTAAGGAAGGTCCCTTCAAATCGTTTTTTCAACCACAACTTTTTTTATTTGATTTTTTTCTTGGCATACTATGTTTGAAAGAGTAAACAAGCAACATTCTACAATACTTGAACACGCTACCTCACAAATGCAACATGTTAAGAGCGTTTATGTGTTCAAAACATACGATATTCTGGTGGATAATTTGCAAATTTGGGCAAACAGTTTTTCAAACTAATGACGTGATCAAATTTTACGTGCTTTGATGAATATTTTCATGTAAAAATATTGGAGGGGAAGTTATTTTTCATTACAGGAAAGCTATGGTTTTTAGCTCAGTTTTACTTAAAATTGGCTCTTTTCTGAACTAACTTTTGTACATGGTGAGTTTTGGATCAAGTTTCGGTTCTGGTCACTTCCCCGGGGGCATCCGGGAAATGCCCGGAAGTGGCTAATGTGGTCATAGATACTTAATAATAATAATAATATTAATAATAATAATAATAATAATAATAGATTTGGCTTATAGTTTTTACACGCCCGTTCAAAATTACCCAAAAATGTGAAAGATAAACATTGTAATGGAATATGAACCCCGCTAAACATTTGCACATTTCACTAGCACACGGCGAATGAGAACGACCCAAATTTGAGTTTAGTTCACTCATAATCGCCAAAAGTGCAGGAACTCAGCGATGAGTAAATTTGCCTCATGTTTTCCCAGGATTTTCCAGGGAAAAATTCCCGAATTTGAGAAAAGTAAAGATTGGATTCACTCAGTCTATTGGTACTACTCCGAGACTAAATAAAATTTTCGTCAATTTCCTCATTTTCCGGCAGATTTTTTAGGTTTTCCACAGGAAACCATGAGACAAATTTTACTCATCGCTGAGTTCCTGCACTTTTGGCGATTATGAGTGAACTAAACTCAAATTTGGGTCGTTCTCATTCGCCGTGCACCAATACTGCCGATACTCGCATAACTGTCCCATCTTTGCTTGATTTCCTATTCATATGGGACAGTTATGCTTTTATGGGCAGAATAAGTCCTTTGGGCTGGACCTTGTATAAATGACATTGATTTCGATCAGCTGCAGCGGCAGCAGCTCATTGTTTGCGTGTCTCTAAATAGTAAATAAAGTCTCTGACGTATTAGAGATAACAAAATTTCGGCTATGTATACAATCAGAAAACATAATTAAAATGCAGCACCATGGCGAAATGTTATGTTCTTTCTGCAAAAAAAGTGCTTTCCAATTAGTTACGGTAAGTGATGAAGAACTTGTGAAAGGCTGCAACCACTTCAACATTTTGTTTTATACATTTCAGCACTCCTTATGCCATTGCTGCTTAGTGAATTTAGAATGCTGCGATGCATCGGCAGAGAAACCCATTCCGATCGTTCCGAAGGAAGATGCGGTTCGGAAGGTTGAGTGTAATGTCTGTCTTGAAGAGTGCCAGGAGGATGAATTACAACATCATCGGATGATGTGTATGCCCCGGTGGGTGTTCCGGTGCTCCGTTTGTGACGGAGACTATCTCAGTAAAGAGGCTCTGTGGAATCATCTGGCCCTGCATGAGGTACGGTCCTCACGGGGAAATTGTTTTCTAGTTCCATCGCTTTCTATGTTGAATGAAAATGTTTCTTTTAACAGATTGCAAACGATAGCAAAGAATTACATTACCAGGAAAAGAGAGTAACGTATAAACAACACAAATGCATACTCTGTAATGATCAACGATGTTACCGGGAGAGTATCTACTGGATACATGTCCATGTAGGTGATGGTTTATATTTTATGATTGTGTCGCATTACCCCGAATGTCACTTCCCCTTACCGCGGTTACCCCAAATTTGAAAAAAATGCACAGCAAGAAGACACTTGCATTCGGGGGAACGTCAATCGAGGTAATTTAGCACAACCCAATTTAAACCTAACATTTTGATTCACTTTACAGGAAGATCACGATGGATTTTTCTTGCGGTGTACAGGATGTGGTGAAAATTTTCGGTCGCAAAAACTTAAAGCGGATCATGCTCTTAACCATTGCAAACATAGGGAACAAATTGTACCAACCGAATCTGCTGAAGTAGATGTAGATTATGCGTATGAAATTAATACTGTTAACAGACGACATTCAGCACAAGTGAAAGAAGTGCGTTGTGAAATACCGGAGAAGCAGGATTCTCACGGATCAAAGATAGTTGGATCCTTGTCTATTGATATCCAGGCAAATGATTCCACTGTGGTAACGGATAGCGACGATGCGGTTACTAGTTTTAATAAAATCGTTGATGATAAGGACAGTAGCGAAATCAAAAATAATGATGAGACAGAAGAAGCTTCAGAGGAAATTTTGCTATCTCAAGCTGAGGATCCTTCTGGTGAATCATCCGGTGTAAAGTGTCCTCATTGCGACAAACAGTATGCTAGTGTCAAGTGCCTCGCACATCACATTGGCTATTGCCATCAGCCGACTTCATGTGACATCTGTGGACTTTTTTTCACCACTGGTAACAAAGCTCGTTATCATAAGGTTTGTTGTTAGAAGTTTCGCTGTAAATGTTTACTTGATGATGCTCTTTTTATTGTTAGTTGAAAATTCACTCAAAAATGAACTTCAAATGCTCTGAATGTCCAAAGGAATTTGTTGTTAAAGGAGGATTACGACGTCATCTAATCTCGCATCAGGTTGAAAGAAAGTTTCTCTGTAAAGAATGTGGAGGCACGTTCAAGACCTCAGCCGCTCTAAAGAGGCATACGAAAGTTGTCCATACTCGTTATGAGAACCTACAGATTGACTGCTACATTCCCATCAAGAAGCAAAGTAAGGTCAAGAAGGTTGTCAAGATTGATTGTCCAATTTGTCGGGAAAGTTTCAATGATCAGAACGAAATTTCCCAACACGTCCAGGAGATACATAAGCTATCTATTTGCACTATTTGCAAGGTGACCTTTACCAGTGCTTATGAGCTAACCGAACACAAGGTTTGTAAAGCGATGAACAATATTATTGCTCGGAAGTGTACCGTTTTAAAGCCTTATGGATTCTATTTTTCCTCCAGTGTACTATGTGTTCCCACTGTGGCAAAGAGTGCTACCACCAAATGCGCCTTAAAAGTCACATCAAGTTGTGCCACGAGCTGATCAAGTGTGACGTCTGTGAAACTTTTATTCCCGGTGAAAGTCAATTGGTGTACCATAAGGTTTGTTGGTCGAATTTGCAAATCTGAAATTACTCATTATAATGCAAATTAACTACCTATTATCTTTTCATTACAGGCGAAAGTTCATGGGGAACCGAGATACAAATGCCCTCATTGCTCGAAGAAATTTCATCTGAAACAAACATATCAGCGACATATGCTCAAATATTCGAAGATTAAGAAGTTTCCATGCGAATTATGCGATCGTAAGTTTAAAAGTTTAATTTACGTCATCAGGCATATGAGAAAAATTCACCGCATAAAGAAAGCTCGAAAAGATCTCGTAAATTACAACGAGTCCAATTGCAATGACGCTTCAAATGACGAACCAGCTGATGTTGCATTTACATTGGAAAGCATAGTTGAAGTTGGGGAAACAACGCTTATAAAACCTGAATATACTTCTGAATGTAGTTCCTCCATCGAGAATATTGCTGATCATACGAACAATGCGGTAGCTAGGATCAATATTTCAAAGTCTTCCCGAATTCCAAATTTCAGAGGCAAGAATAAGAAGCGAAAAGTCTCACGAGCCATTGGTGAGAATCCGTCGGCTGAACCCTCCGATACAGTTTGTCCTCACTGTGACAAAGAGTGCTACCACAAATCGCGCCTTATTAATCACATCACTTGGGGGCACGATGTGACCGAGTGTGATGTTTGCGGAATTTCTTTTACCGGCAAAAGTCAAGTCTGGTATCACAAGGTTTGTCTGTGGCAGACAACACTTAAAATATTTTATTTAAAATATTTCTTCTATTATTTTAGTTGACAACTCACTCGGAACCGAAGTTCAAGTGTCCTCAATGCCCGATGAAATTTCATTTAAAACATTCCTATCGGCGTCATGTGTCTATGCATGATAAGTATAGCAAAGTGTTTCCCTGCAAATCATGTGGCGCCAAGTTCAAAACTTTAGTTCAACTCAGCAAGCACGTGAAACAAGTTCATTTTATCAGAAAAGGTCAAACCGACTGTACCAACATCAACAAACTGGAAAAAGAACTAGATGGTCAAAAATTTGAAGAGATTTCCATTAAAATTGAATCATTAGAAGACAAATCATCGCTTCAGCACCTAGATGACGACAATGGAAAGTTTACCATACAGGCTTCTACTATGGATAACCCTGCAAAGTGTCCCCACTGTGGCAAAAAGTTCCACCAAGAAAGTGCCCTATCCCGTCACGTTGCAAACAGCCACGTGCCGACTAGCTGTGAAATTTGCGGAATTACCACGGACAACAAACATAAACTTGGCTATCATAAGGTTTGTCCATACATCTCATCAATAATCGTAATTGCATAGATAGGTATGTTTGTTCATTTCAGCGGACAAGTCACGTGGAACCGAAGTACAAATGTCCACATTGCCCGGAGAAATTCTGCATGAAAGCAGGTTATGAGCGTCATGTGTCCAACCATGGAACAAATAAGTTTCCCTGCAAATTCTGTAGCCTCATGTTCAAAAATGGTCTCGCCATCAGTAATCATGTAAGGCAAGCCCATCTCGCCAAAGCAGGTTACACTACTAAGGTCAAAAAGAACTAGATGAAAAAAAAAACAAAAAACGATTGGCATTCTACGATGAAAGTATGGACCTTAGTGGACAAATAATAATAAATGGATTAATAACCGATAATGAAATTGATTTAGAAATCACCATTCCCAAGTCTGTTTAACAGCGCATAAGCATTTTTATCCTGAACCTTCACTACATTGATCTGTATCAGATTTAAATAATATGCGGCAGAAACAGTCGAGCATTTTACCATTTTACTTACGATGAAGACTCATCCAGGCTTATTCTGCGGGCAGGGTGGCCACATTATTTTTTCATTATAGGTAGCTTCTCAAAACTTGTATAGGTAGTTATCGGTATACCCATGTAGTCACCTTGGGTATAAAAGCCTTTTAAGATTGCACTCGTATACTTCTCCGTGGACAATTTTGAAACCATCATCACTTTCATAGTTCTTCTATTCTCCACGAGTGCCAACTTTGATTTGCCAATGTAGAAGTCCTCTGTTGCCAAGTGAAAAGAAAGAGAATCTTTCGAAAACCGTGTAGCGATTTCAACTATTTTTCTCTTGGCGTGACTCATTATACACCGGCTCTAGGATGTTCTTGTTACAATTGGTACGATACTTTTGAAATGCTTTATACATTTTGTAAACAAAAGTTGTCATGCCCTTTACACGCGAACCGAAGTACGCCCACGCAAACCAATACAATTCAGTGCCAACATTTCAAAGGGTCGTAATTGCTTTTGTAAACAATGGCTTTAGCCATCGATTTCTCGCAAATAAAAGCTCACTCCTCTAAATTAACAATGCTATCTGGTAGAAGAAACATTCCTCTACCTGTTGGTGTAATTAATTTTCATGAGTGAGCTTTTATTTACGAGAAATCCACGGCTAAAGCCATTGTTTACAAATTCACTTTTCATCATAATAAATTAATCACATGGCTTTTAAATTTAAAACACGTGAAATCCATGGGTGCTACAAATCAATAGAGCATTCATGAGATATGGTTGATTTCATAAGATCGCCACTTGAAATGAACACTGATAAATTAAACTATTCCCACTTTGCCTGAAATTTAATCAATTTGACATTAAACTCAGTTTAATCATTTCGAAAGATTAAGAATTTATACTCTCTTTCTAAAAACTAAGCATTTGATATTAATCCCAGCTTAATCATGGTTGATTAGATTGAAGATAATCTTTTTTGAATAAATTTTAATAATTTTTGATTCTATTTTAATAATTTTTGATTGAATTTTAATCTGTTTTTGTTTATATATCAGTATTGAAAAAGAATAATATTTAATACTGGAAAGATTATTTCGAATTTAATCATGCATGACTACTGCCGAAGTAATCATGGCTCGGACTCAATAAGGTGAAGCGGGAATCTGCATACTTTTTAAGCTTTTTTGATTTAATTTATCTTTGAGTGAATGTGTTTGCCAGGTTTGCCAGTACACTGAGCGAATTTACCATGTCGTCATTGCATGATTAATCATTCAGAGCTATCCGATTTCTTTAACATCGAAAATAATATGAGATACCCGATTGACTGATAATTGACATTAAATGGGATGATTCATCATACATATCATAAAAGGAAATAACATCAACCACTTAATGAAGTACCGTTCAAATTTTGAAAGGTATTAACAATAAATGAATTCAAGAACAGAAATGAACTAAAATCATCCAAGTGAACCCCATAACGAAAATCATACAACAACTGTCATACGATTCATTTTCTTGTCGTTTCAGTCTCCCATTGCGTTTTGGCCTTACCATTTTTTCGCAGTTTGTTGCGTCTCTCGAATAGCAGTACACAGTTTTTTCGCATACCACGGGGAGTGTCACCAAAAAGCGAACGAAAAAAAAGTTTTCGGATTCATGTGGCAAAAAAATATCTACTCGTTCCGTTCCCGTTTGATTCGAATGCTTCAGTGCCCGTGGATTGTTCGCGATCCAGCCCCCCCTCGAGGAGGTGGTCAGCGACTTTGAGGAAAGCAAGTACCAAAACGCCGAACTGCGTCTTTCGTACTACGGCAAGTCGTCGAACGAGTGGAGTTTTACAAACTGGCCAAGTGGCCATAGACAGAAACGTGTAATCAAAACAACATCCGCTGGTTGATTCAAATTCCTAGACTTCAGTAAGTTACTGGGAGGGAGGTCCTTTGTTTCAAGCAATACGATTCTAACAAAACAAATTTATCTTCCAGTGATATCTTCAAGACCAACCAGCTGATGAGCTCGTTCCAGCAGATTTTGGACAACGACAAGTCGCCGAACGAGTGGAGTTTTACAAACTGGCCAAGTGGCCATCAGAAACGTGTAATCAAAACAACATCCGCTGGTTGATTCAAATTCCTAGACTTCAGTAAGTTACTGGGAGGGAGGTCCTTTGTTTCAATCAAAACGATTCTAACAAAACAAATTTATCTTCCAGTGATATCTTCAAGACCAACCAGCTGATGAGCTCGTTTAGCAGATTTTGGGACAACATTTTCAAACTGCTTTTTGAGGCCACAAACAACCCGAGCCAACATCCTAAATTGCACAAGTTCCTACAGAACGTGATTGGGTTCGATTCCGTGGATGATGAGTCCGAACCGGCGAATCCACTGTTCGATGGGGACGCCAGGGGCGAGGCCGGCCCAGTGCAGCATTTAGTGTGGTTGTTTTATCATAAATGAATAAAACAATTGTTCAGCTTATAAAACAGAAGTGTTTCATTTACAACATTAATTAACAGTTCCAACAATTTAGAAGAGATATATTTCGTTATGATCACAATTTTTAAACAGTAAAATAAGCTTTCTGCTTCCATATATTTTTCATTCAGATTGCACTTATATTTCATTTAAACGTTGCATGACAATATTTATTTTGAAACTGTATGACGAGTCCGTATCTTTCTCAATGTTAATCATACGGTTTGTTCATTTCAAGTCTTCCTAAGAATGGATGATAATCATGCTAATGGTTTACAGCGTGCAGAACGAAAATCATCCTGTTTTAGAATTAATGCTATTCAGTTCTTCTGTGCTTTGAGAGCTGAATCAGAGAATGATAATCTTTCGCAAATAGAAAAATAATCCGTATGGGGCTCAAGTGAAGCAATAATCATACATTGATGTATGGACAATTTGGTTCAGTGTATGCGCAAATTCAAATGTGAAGCACATGATAGTTCGTGTATTGACTTCTCGACGCAACATCTCACTTATACAACCTAGCTAGCGCAGCCCTGTAAAATCGCTTTGTTTATTATTTTCAACCACGAAATCAGCTGTCAAAGTGTTCGACTTGACAGCGGTTTGTTTTTTATTTTCAACCAGTAAAATGCATGTATTAGTGAAACTTCTCACTAATACTAACGGTGGTAGAGAACTCTATAGATTTTTTTTCTCAAGTGTATGGAATGTTATGGTAGAATGACGTTGTCACTTGAGTGCTCAACAATGTTTACAATATTTATTTTCACTTCTAACACCAGCAAGCTGCCTGTTGGTGTGGACCTTATACACTGAACGAATTTGACATATTCCTGTTATGTGGAAGTCTAATAAATTTGCGCTATAAGATAATCCATTGAAAATGATATGATTGAAAATGTGTCAGGTAAATTCTATATGAATATCTGATACATTTACAATGCTGATAATTTGGTAACTTTTATATGATCGTCATATGATAAATGAAAATCGATTAAATTATAATAATTAACTGAAATGGATTTGAAACCCATAAGCATAACCCTAATAAAAATGGTATGGTTAATTTGCTTAACGACGTGTTCTGGGTATCATCCAAACCATTTGTGGAATAGTTCAATGATTTGGGTTATCGTTCGTTTATGGTTATTTTTTATTAGGGAAGCTATACTTTTCACCACAATATAATATATGTGTCATAAATCAATCGAAGTAAAGTTTATGTGAAAATAACATGAAATTTACTTCTTCTTTTGATACATATATATTTAATCGATTTCTAAAAATAAATTCGAAAAATAAACATCAGGCAGTGGGAGCTTTCACAGTTGTGCCTTTTTTTTATTGTAGCTGATTTGGGATTCGATCAAGATCTGTTGAGGTGTGATGCTTTCGGTGTCTGTGCTCGATTCCACTGGGCCACGGCTGACTTCAAGATTGAGCTCGTTCAAATAGCAGCTCTCCCGACATGGAATGTAGTGCAACTTTATGCTCGTTTTGCTAGAGTGAAAACAAATAGCACTGACAAGTTTATGTTCCGTTTCGGTGGTGTGGTTTGTTCAAATCTTTCTTAATGCACCTGTGTGCAATAAATCAACGACTAAATTATATGATTTGATAGAACTGGCTCATGAAGTTCGAGTACTACTTAGGGCTGGAATCTGAATTAGCCGTGTAGAAGGCTTACAATTAGAATCATAGCAAAGTAAATATTACAGTAGAATCATTTTTTTTTTCAATCTCAATACATTCTTTTCTGGAACCAATTATCATATGAATGAGTGTACGTTAACATCGTTGAAAATTGTTTCAATAATTTATAAAGAACAATCAAGATGTATATGTATTTTATTGGGAGCGATATTCATCCCAGAAAAACATGCAAAAACAAATGCTTGCTGTTGGATTTCTTAAAAGGCATATCTATATGACTATTTCAGTGCCAACATTTCAAAGGGGCGTAATTGCATTTGTAAACAATGGCTGTAGCCGTCGATTTATCGCGAATAAAAGCTCACTCATGAAAAATAATCACACCAGCAGGTAGAGGAATGTTTCTTCTACCAGCTAGCATTGTAATTTTGGAGAAGTAAGATTTCATTCGCGAGAAATTGACGACTAAAGTCATTGTTTACAAAAGCAATTACGCCCCTTTGAAATGTTGGCACTGATTTAATGATTGGGATAGATCTGTTTACAATTTTTAAACGTCAAAAATCAAAGCAAGCTATTACAATGAGATATACATGTTTTCCTATACTGCAAAGTTAAATGACAGTCCAATAGTTTCTACATGTATATTTACACGCGACATATCAACAAACGTCAAAAATCAGTAAAAGCAACTCCAATAAAATATACATGATTATCTTATAAGATATATATTTTAGTGGGCAATATTCATCATGAAAACAGGTATATTTTACTGAATTTTCTCATAGTGCAAACTTATATGATTTTCCATTAGTTTCTAGATGTCTGTTCCCACCCATGACATATCAACAGTTTTTCACCATGAAATATATCAGACAATACTCATATACTTCTTACCTTCGCTAACCACGTTCGAAGCAAAGTATTATCAAGTACTAAGTATATGAAATTACGGTAGAAATCATTCCATATCGCAGTCATAGTTTTTAAGTGATAATCCAATGGAATCTATCAATCATCACATAGAATGAATAAATCTGCTGACATTGCTATGTTATAAGATGAATCCAATAAACAGTACATGTCGATTTGTTTCAGTGTATATAAACGTCATTGTCATCTCCCCCAGCACGGCGAATGAGAACGACCCAAATTTGAGTTTAGTCAACTCATAAATCACATAAAGTGCATGAGTAAATTTGCCTCATAGAGTTCTCTACCACCGTTAGGCCGTTCGCAATGCTGTTGTATTTTATAAGGATTGTTTCAATTTGAAACTAGAACAGAAACGCACCTCTCGCAATGCTGAGTTGCAGTTTCATTATTCGAGCACTATTTTGCACCAGATTTGCAACTGCTCGACTATTCTGTTTTATTTCTGAGCGAGTTTGAAACACGAATGGAACTCTGTTTCAAATTTCTTTGTATGTATTTAAAGATGTTTCGAAGAGCTTCACAAACAACTCTATGAACTTCATAGAAAACAGTAAAGTTTATGGAACTTGATGATTACAAACATCTTTTAGAACTGTGCGTTGCGCTGATCGTGTTGCAGTTTTATTTTTGACAGTTTCAAATTATAGAATTGTCGAGGAGTTTAAAACAATTTTGAAACTCAGCATTGCGAACGGCCTTAGTATTAGTGAGAAGTTTCACTAATACATGCATTTTACTAGTTGAAAATAAAAAAACAAACCGCTGTCAAGTCGAACACTTTGACAGCTGATTTCGTGGTTGAAAATAATAAACAAAGCGATTTTACAGGGCTGCGCTAGCTAGGTTGTATAAGTGAGATGTTGCGTCGAGAAGTCAATGTTTTCCCAGGTTTCTCCAGGAAAAAATTCCCGAATTTGAGAAAAGAAAAGATTGGATTCACTCAGTCTATTGGTACTACTATGAGACTGAATAAGATTTTATTCAATTTCCTCATTTTTCGGCAGATTTTTTAGGTTTTCCACAGGAAACCATGAGACAAATTTACTCATCGCTGCGTTCCTGCACTTTTGGCGATAATGAGTGAACTAAACTCAAATTTGAGTCGTTCTCATTCGCCGTGAGGTAAAAGGAGGAGCAGACAAAACAAATCGGCCTGAGTAAAATTAAATTTGTTGTTCGCAATGTTCTGTTCTTTCTGCAAAAAAAGTGCTTCCAAATTAGTTACGGTAAGTGACGAACCGGAATCTGTTATAAGTTACATAAGTTCCAACGTTGATTGAAGAAAGTAGTTCGGATTGTATGCAACATTAAGCGTAGAAAATCAGCAGCCACGGAACGGAGCAGAATCCCTGAATTTGAGATTAATTACTTCCACTAATGACTTTATTGTTCTCCTTTAGTTAAAAATCAAATGTTGTGTTTTCCTTGACCTGAGCAATGGTGTAACCGACAGGCTAACGTTACGATAATAAATTACAAATTACGAAAATTGCAGCAGCTTTTTCATGCCGTTCAGAGGTACTTAAAATGTCACAGGTCACATTCAAAGGAAGAATTTGCTGAACGTCTGGCCACAACAACCAACAATTTTCGCCTTCAAGGCTGCCCTCAAAGGGTATTGGATAAAATTTTCACTGAAAACTTTAAAGCTGAACAATGCTCTTTGCATCCATGTTAAGACATTCCCAGTTATTTTCAGCACACAGATCGGTTATCTAGATTCTAATACGACAAACACGATAAGAAACGGTTCTATACGTAAGTTATTAACGAAAGAGAAAGTCAATGAAGATCATCGATCAATCTTACTTAGGACCTAATGCATTGTTCAGCTTGATTTCTATATGTTTTCCTTGACTTGATGTAAAGCACCACAAGCAGGGTATCGATGACTAAATAAAATTACAATTGCTTTGTACCTACATACATTTCAGCACTCGTTAGGCGATTGCTGTTTGGTGCATTTAAAATGCTGCGAAGCAACAGCAGCGAGTCGATTGGCTGTCGGTGAAGATGCGATTCGGACGGTTGAGTGTGATATCTGTTCCGAGGAGTACCAGGAGGATGAACTCCAACGGCATCGGGAGATGTGTATGCCACGGTTGGTGTTCCGTTGTTCCTTGTGCGACGAAGACTATCTGAGTAAGGAGGGTCTGTGGAATCATCTGAGTCTGCATGAGGTATGTGGAGGGGTTTCTATTTCATCGGGTTAGTCGTCCTATGTACATAAATGCTCATAAATGAATTTTATCAACAGATTGCAAACGAGAGTAAAGAATTATATTACCAGGAAAGAAGTGTAACGTATAAGCAACACAAATGTATCCTGTGTAATGATCAACGTTGTTTTCAGGAGAGTGTCTACTGGAGGCACGTTCATGTGAGTAACTCGGCTTAGAATTAGATTGAATTGTTTATTACAAGAGTTGGTGCACCTTTCAGGAAGATCACGATGGCTTTTTCCTGCGGTGTTCCGAGTGCGGCGAAAGCTTCCGGTCACAACAACGTATGTCTGATCATGCTTTGAACCATTGCACATCTAGAGAACAAGCGATGCCATTCGAATCTGGTGGACTAGACATGGATGACGGCAATGCTACTGGTGACAAACAGCAGGATTCACTCGAATCAGAGATAGTTGAATCCTTGTCGGTTGATTTCTATGAACATTGTTCTGAATTGGTTACGGAGTGTGACGATAATCGTACTGGTTGTTATGATCAAATCAACGATGAAATCGAGAAAACATCCGACGTGCAACCAGTTTCTCAACTGAAAAACAAAAAGAATAATCCGATTCCGAACGTGGCTTCAGGGGGCATTTGTTCGAGTGAATCGTCCGATATAAAATGTTCCCAATGCAACAAGAAGTATTTCAGTGCTAAGATCCTCTCACGTCACTTCCAAAGATGTCATCGGCCGACCACGTGCGACGTCTGTGGAGTTGTTTTCAGCACTTTTAACCAATTCCGTTATCATAAGGTGGGTGGTTAAAGTTTAACTATAACTGTTTACTTGCTAACGCAATTTTCCTGGTTAGTTAATCAGCCACTCTGGAGTTCTTTATAAATGTCATGAATGTCCGATGGAATTTAATGTAAAACATTCTTATCAACGTCATGTGGCCAGACATCACAAGGCTATGAAGTTGTGCTGTAAAATATGTAATCGCAAACTCAAAACCTCAGTCGCTTTGGCAAAACATATGAGTTTATGCCATAGTGACTTTACTAAGATCCAACAGCAATATCAAGCCAAAACGGTTGTCAAAACTGATTGTCCAATTTGTCGGAAAAGTTTCAGCGATCAGGAACAAGTTTCCCAACACGTCCAGAAGATACATAAGCTAACCATTTGCAAAATTTGTGGGGAGACCTATGGTAGTACCGATGAGCAAAACAATCACAAGGTATGTACTGTTACAGCGATAGACGATTTTCGGAAACAAGGAAACGATTTCTTGGGAATTGACATAGAATCAAGATTGACCTTTAAGATCTTTTCAGTGTAAAATTTGTCCCCATTGTGGTAAACAGTGCTACAACCCAACGCGTCTAATTGTACACATCACCAAAACTCATGAACTGACCGCGTGTGACATCTGTGGAATGTCATTTGCCGGCAAAAGTAAAATGATGTATCATAAGGTTTGTTTGTGAAATTTGTTACTCTGAAATTTCTCTCATTAATTCGATCTCAATCTCTACAATTCCAGCTGACAGCACATTCGGAACCAAAATACAAATGCTCACATTGCTCGAAGAAGTGTTATTTGAAATATGACTATCTGCGTCATTTATCGTTTTGTTTAAAGGGTAAGGTCTTGCGGTGCAAAATATGTCAACGGACGTTCGGAAAATTAGTCCATCTCACTGATCATATGGAAATGGCTCACGGGGAGAAAAGAATCCAAACAGATCTCGGAGACTGTATCGAACCAAAGTCCTGTGATGTTTTGAATGTGCGGCAAGAAGAAGAGATGGAAATGGAAAGCATAGTGGAAGTGGAGGAAACAATGCTTCTTAAAGCAGAAAATAAAATACCACACGATCCTGACTGTAATTCACCAGTCGAGAATGTTGCCAATACGAGAATTCAAAATAAAGGGCAGAATAGACGGTTGCACATCTCACAAACTCTGGATGGGTATCCGTTGAGTGGATTTTCCGACACAAAGTGTCCCGACTGTGGCAAAGAGTGCTACCACACCGAGCGCCTTACTATACATTTCACGCGTCGCCATAAGGTGACCGAGTGTAAAATTTGTCATGCTTCTATTGTCGGCAGAGATCAAACCTGGTATCATAAGGTTTGTTTGTCGAAGTTGTAACTCCAAAATTTCTCTTAGTAATGCAACCTCATTTTCTATATTTTAGTTAAAAGTTCATTCGGAACCGAAATACAAATGCTCCCATTGTTCGAAGAAGTTTTATTTAAAATACGGCTATCGGCGGCATATGTCCGTTCATAAGATTATTAAGGGCTATCCCTGCAAGTTCTGTGGCCGAAAGTTTAAAACTTTACATGATGTGGGACGCCATGTAAAGCATGTCCACTTTGTGAGTAAAGTGCAACCCGACCGAGAACATGTCCAGCAGATGGCAATCAAAGAAGAAATCTCAGAACTAGATGACGACGGAGACAAATTGATGTCACTGCCTTCTACAAGCGGATCCACGATAAAATGTCCCCACTGTGACAAAAAGTTTCAGCAAGACAAATTTCTAATCCGTCACATTGCAAGCAACCACAAGCCGCGCACTTGTAACATCTGCGGACTTAACTTTGAAAAAACACATCAACTTTATTATCATAAGGTTTGCGATGTTCGATTTTTTATACTGATCACCATTCATCATAAAATTGTTTATTTCAGCTGACGTGCCACTCGGAACCAAGGCACAAATGTCCGCACTGCCCGGAGAAATTTCACTTGAAATCTCTCTGTGATCGCCATGTGTCCAGGCATAAAGAAAACACATTTCCCTGCAAATTATGCAGCCTTAAGTTTAAAACTGCTCTCTCTGTTAGCAAGCATGTGAAACTTTCTCACCGTGCTAAGGAAATGAAAACTGAGGCCACAAAGATGTAGTTTTGGTAAGTTAAGCCATCTGCATCCCTGATTCAAAACTGATATAGATCCAAATATTTAGATCTGAGCCGATCTGAAATCATGCACCTCGGCGTTCTAAATTTGGTTTTAATTTCATACAACCACAGTTGTTTATTTAAATATTTAACCCTCAATTATTCGCTTATTTAATCAACAAGAGTTTCTCGAACGACCCATAGTTCCTAGATCTTGCAATACTTGGATGAACAACCAAGCTCGAGGGGTTCCACTGCGTCTTCGTTATTGCCTTATCCTCTCTGTCTATAGTACCTTCCTTTCTTTAGCTACCTACTGTAGGATATAACCACAGAGAACAGACATGGAGGCTCGAGCAAAATTTCTCTAAAAACTTGTGTAAAGATTCCTATTCGACTTAAGCGTCACTAACGGTGACTTCCCCACTTAAAAACCCTCTTTGACAACATGATGGCGCTGGCGTTGAACAAATTACACTAGACACTAAGTGCTAGTAGCGCCAAGTGGCAATTTTCAACAGAAAATTTATCGATGCTAGCACCAAATTGGTCGAAAGTGGAAAATCTATAGAGAAAATCAGGAGATGCTAACACCACGTAACGGCGACGTTCCCACTTATTTTACACAAGTTTCTGACCGAACTTGAACGTCTGTTCTCTGTGATATAACTAAATAATTTGGCCAGCTTTCTCAATTTTTAATCAATTCGCCAAAGATGGTGACAAGCACACGACGCTCGAAAACTTCCAACGCTCCTCCTCAAGCATTCCCCGCAGATAACTAAAGGCCTTAAGGGTGTGTGTTGACTACGCCCCGTCAGAATCAAACGTGACCGTGCCCACATTTAACGCTCCGCTACTGTACGCCACACCCAGCGCTGGTCAAGGGATTAATAGCACTACGAATGAATCATCACCCGAAGAGATGCAAAATAACAACAAAGCGGCCATCGTTAAATCAAATTAATCTACAGTTTTTTTTTTGTTAAACGACAATTAAGTACTTAATACTAAATTGGTTATTCCTAAATTTACGGAAATTTGAACTATCATCTACTGAATTGTTCGGATTAAGCTAAATTTAGGTGAGTTATTTACAAGATAATGATATAAGAGTGAAAATATCGTATAATACTACATCTAGACGAAAAGGAGGTTATTCAATGAGAACCAGGCTTTGAACAGCCCGTAATGACGAATGCCATTGTACTGTCGTTAGCTCATAGGTGAGAAATTCCTTAATTCTATAGCTATTTAAATACTAAACGAATATTATATACACAAACACAGGTCGTTAGCTGCGGGATATTCGAATATTACAGTTGTTAGAGAAACTAGAAACACTAAAAGTAAGATTAACTTAAACTTAATTGATTAATCTGCTGACATTACCAGTAAAAACTGTTTCATTCTTAGGAATTTTATAATTTACAACATTGACGGATTAAATTCATGGAATTTAGTTTCTTGTTTCACTCTCTCAACAACAATTTATAAAATTCTTTTATTATGTCGCTGAAATCGTCAAGTTCCACACGGACGATCATTGCAACGCAAACACCAAGGCACATAGGGGAAAACGGAGACAATCTAGTCCCAGGAACCGCGAGAACCAGTGCAAGTGGCACATCTCCGTTTGTGGTCATACCCCCTCCTAGCATCATAGGCGAGGAAAATGCTGACGTTGCCAATATCACACAACCCCAAGGAACTGGGGCAATTCCACACCGAAACGCTGTCAATGTCGAGAAAAACAACGCTGGTACCGTGATCGCTGCTAGACGTAACCCTATTCGCAATGTTAGAAGAAATCGTGATTACCAGTGTCAGTTGTGTGAAGAGCGTGATGATAATCAGATGGTGCAGTGTGATGGTTGCGATCGATGGTTCCATTTCGTATGTGTGGAAGTTTCAGAAGATATCGCCAACGTCAGTTGGGTCTGTCCGGAATGTAAGGACGTACTCATTCCCCTCACCAGTACTTCCACCACAACGACTGGTCAGCAACAACAAAATCCCCCCCTAAAGAAGACCAATACAGTACGAACCAAGAGCAAAGCCAGTTCTTCTCGCAGTGAGGCTAGAAGGCTGAAAGAACTTGAGCTGAAAAGACTGGAAGAGGAGTTCGAGATGGAGAAGCGTTTTCTGGAACGAAGGTACAATGTACTTAAGGAGTACAGTAGCGAAACATCAACCGAGGTCGATGACGTCGAAGATCATGTATCGAGGATTGCAGAGTGGTTAGCTGAATCGAAACACCAAGGGGAAGATTCTGGATCAGTAACGCAGGAGACGAATTGGCCACCGAACACGTCGGATAGGCCTGAGAAGCACCAAGCTTCAGATGTCGTCCAGTGCAAGCGAAATCCATCAATTTTCCGTACGAATCAACTCGGTCAGCGTCGGTCAGAGCCAGTTTTGCAGTCTGAACAGCAGTATCACTCATGCCAGTCATCCACCACGTCGGTTGCAGCTCCAGAAAGGCAGTACGAACTTCATTCATCGGATGCTCATTGTTGGCAAACTGCACATTCGCAGTTCCACGATAAACCAACGTTCTTCCATAGGAAGATTTCGAATACACATTTTCGCCAACAAGCAGCTGATATTCCTGAGTTTGGACAGTTGAATATTCACGCTAAAGCACCGCTTGCACCTGAAGCAAATCCTAGTGCACAGAGTGGCTACCCGCAGCAAGCGCAGCCACAATTACATGCCAGACCATCGTTCGTTCCTTCCATTAATGCAGGTATCAATGTCAACGAGTTCGCTCCAGGTCAGTATTCAACTCCAAAACAATCGACTAATCCGAGATTATACCCGGCAGCAACAACCGCAGACGAAACATTCTGCATTCTGAACCGGAACCAAATTGCAGCACGGCAGGCGGTGTCCAAGGATCTGCCTGAATTTGACGGAACACTAGAGGACTGGCCACTATTTTACTCTACGTTTAATTCGTCCACACAGATGTGTGGTTTCACGAACGAGGAGAATATGCTGAGATTACGCAAGTGCCTGAAAGGTAAGGCTTTGGAAGCAGTAAGATGCGAGCTACTTCACCCGTCAAACGTAGCGGATGTTGTGTCGACTCTGAAAATGCTTTTTGGGCGATCAGATGCAATTGTCCAGTCGATCGTCAAGAAGATCAGGAGTCTACCTCCACCAAACATGGAGAAACTCGAGACGGTGGTGAATTTTGCACTGGCTGTGAAGAATATGGTTGCGACAATCCGAGCCTGTGCTGTAGACGACTTTGTCTTCAACGCATCACTCCGATACGAATTAGTAGAGCGGTTGCCGTCAAGCCTAAAATTAGACTGGGCGAGGTTTGTTCGGAATAACCCAAACCCAGATCTTGTAAACTTCAGTGCGTGGCTGTACACTATAGCGGAGGATGTAAGTTCAGTGATGGTTACTACAAGTCGTGATCAGCGATGTCGTGGTACCAAGAAGGATGGGTTTCTAAATCTTCACTCTGAGTCAGAGTCCAGCAGCTCGGAACCGACCGAAGCGTCTACCAAGCCGAAGTCGATTGCACCAAAGGAAACTGTCGAAGCTGAATGTGTAGTGTGCAAGGGAAGCTGTTCGAACGTGGCGAAGTGCAGTAGATTCGAATGCTTGAGTTACGACTCGAAGTGGGCAACTGTGAAGGAGTGCAGACTTTGCCGCAAATGTCTTCGTAAGCACAATGGCTCATGTAAACAACAGAAGAAATGTGGTACAAACGGATGTACGTACCTGCACCATCCTTTACTCCACAACCCGGTGAACCATCAAACATCAACACAATCGACATCGCAACATACTACTGATTGCCTTCCACATTCGGAAGGATCAGAACCAAGCTGCAATTTGCATCAGGGACAGTCCACAGTGCTATTCCGCATCGTTCCAGTCGTATTGTACGGACCAAAAAAAGTTGTGCCGACTTATGCGTTTATCGACGATGGATCTGAGCTAACTCTTATGGAGCAGAGTTTGGCAGAGGAATTAGGCGTTGAAGGACCCAAAAAATCTCTGTGCTTAAAGTGGACTGGCGGTACTCGAAAGTTAGAGAATGAGTCGCAACAGGTGAATCTACAAATCTCCGGGGCGCGAAGCTCAAAGAAGTACGATCTGGCCGGAGTCTACACTATGTCTTCTCTACAAATTCGTCCACAAACGTTGCTGCTTTCCGTGTTGCAGAGGAAGTATCCACATCTGTCTGGATTACCGCTTGAATCATATCATGACATAAGTCCGCGAATTCTAATCGGTTTGGATAACACCGATCTCGGACACGGATTCAAGAGTCGTGAAGGAAAGCCAAACGAACCGATCGCTGTAAAGACGCGCTTGGGTTGGATGGTTTATGGTAACTGTACTGGCAAGCAAGATAGAATCGGATACTTAAACTACCACAGCGTTCAAACCTGTGAGTGTAATCGGGAGTACGACGATGGCCTCCATAAAGCGATGAAATCATACTTTGCGCTTGATAGTCTCGGAATCATCAAACCAAGCAAGCTTCTTCTTTCAAAGGAAGATCAGCGGGCGCAATCTTTGTTGGAATCTCTGACACGTCCTATGAATAACCGTTACGAATCTTGCCTTCTCTGGAAATACGATCGCGTCCGTCTTCCGGACAGTAAAGGGATGGCTTTCAGACGTTGGAAGTGTTTAGAAACTCGGATGATTAAGGATCCCGAGCTTGCCGAGGCACTTAAATTGAAGATGCACGAACATATTAGCAAGGGCTATGTGAGAAAATTGATTCCAGAAGAACTGCACGAATCGCATGCTCGAATTTGGTACCTGCCAATTTTCGTAGTGATGAATCCCAACAAGCCTGGAAAGATACGCTTAGTGTGGGATGCTGCAGCCACTGTGCACGGTGTTTCACTGAACTCAGTTCTCTTGAAGGGCCCCGATCAATTAACATCGCTTCTGTCCGTACTGATTCGTTTTCGTGAGTTCCGGGTGGCGGTATGCGGTGACATCAGAGAAATGTTCCACCAAATACAAATGTTGCTGGAAGATCAGCACTGCCAGCGTTTCTTTTGGATGGACGACGATGAGTCAGAACCAAGTGTCTATGTTGTACAGGTGATGACCTTCGGTGCCTGCTGTTCTCCAAGCACTGCACAACACGTCAAGAATACCAATGCGAAGAAGTTTGAACAGGATTACCCAGACGCAGTCGACGCTATCATCAAACGGCACTATGTCGATGACATGCTCGTGAGCACGGAAACAGAAGAAGAAGCCGTGAAGTTGGCTCAAGATGTAAAGAAAATCCATGAACATGCCGGGTTCGAAATACGCAACTGGATCTCCAATTCTGCCATGGTCCAGGCGACGTTGAAAGGAGCAGCAACGGAGGAGAAAAATCTGAATATCGGCGAGGAGGCAACGACAGAAAAGGTGCTTGGAATGTGGTGGAACACATCAAATGATTGTTTCACGTACAAATTGTCTTCCCGGTATGATGAAGCACTTTTATCCGGTAGCCATCGACCAACGAAGCGGGAGGTTCTCCGGACGCTGATGATGATCTACGATCCCTTAGGCTTCATTGCACATCTTCTAATGTTCCTGAAAGTGCTTCTGCAGGAAATTTGGAGAACGTCGGTTGGCTGGGATGATCCAATTGAAGACTTGCAGTTTGAGAAGTGGCTGAAGTGGTTGGCAGTATTTCCGGATATGAGACTTGTTGAAGTACCTCGATGTTACCGATCATTGACGTCAGTAGAAGCTGAAGTAGAGATGCACACATTCGTCGATGCAAGCGAAAACGGTTTTGCGGCAGTAGTTTACCTCCGATTCCGAGAAGGGAACGTGATCGAATGCGCTTTGGCGGGAGCAAAAACCAGAGTGGCTCCACTGAAGTTCCTGTCCATCGCACGGTCCGAGCTACAAGCAGCGCTACTCGGAGTTCGATTAGCGGATACTATACTGGCGTCCCTCTCCATCAAGATCTACAAACGGTACTTCTGGACAGATTCCAAAGATGTCCTCTGTTGGCTGGCATCCGATCATCGGCGATACAGCCAGTTCGTGGCTTTTCGGGTCAGTGAAATATTAGAATCGGCCGACGTCAACGAATGGCGATGGGTCCCAACGAAGCAGAACGTCGCTGATGAAGGAACAAAGTGGACACGAGTTCCTGATTTTTCCAGTGATAGCCGGTGGTTCCGTGGACCAGATTTTCTGAAAGAAGACGAACATGGCTGGCCAGTAACCCCTAGCTTCAAAAAATCAACGGATGAAGAGATTCGGCCACACCTGCTTATCCACGCAATGCAAATGGATCCGGTGATACGTGTGCAAGATTATTCCAAGTGGATTCCTCTTCTTCGTCGGACGGCATACATATTTCGCTACGTAGAAAATCTTAGGCGTTCCATGAGAAAGGAACAACGCACCTGCGGACCATTGATTCAGCAAGAGTTGGCTAAAGCGGAAAACTATCTGTTCCGATTAGCACAGTCGGAAGCCTACGCTGATGAAATCGCTACGTTATCCACACGCGACTCTACAACAGACCCGCAAAGGAAGATCGTCCGAAACGACCCGCTCTTTCGCAGTGCTTTCTTGGATGACAACGGAGTTGCTCGAGTCCGAGGTCGAACTAAGGCATGCTCATTTGTTGACCGTGATGCAGTTGAACCGATCATTCTTCCTCGCCATCATCATATTACACGACTGATTGTCTCTGACACTCATGAGCGGTTGAACCACCAGAACCATGCTACAATTATCAACGAACTTCTTCATATTCCTAGGCTGAAAGCGACTTACTACGCCATTCGGAAAGATTGTCAGCAGTGTAAGAATGATCAAGCAAGACCGCAGCCGCCAATGATGGGTGATCTTCCACAATCACGTCTGGCTGCGTTCAGTCGACCTTTCACTTACATGGGGGTGGATTATTTTGGTCCGATACTAGTCTCGGTGGGCCGACGATCTGAAAAGCGTTGGGGGGTCCTCGCTACTTGTCTCACTACTTGCGCCATCCACCTGCAACTCGCTCACACACTGACCACGGATTCGTGTGTAATGGCAATTCGGAACGTCATGGCTAGGAGGGGAGTTCCCGCTGTTATCTATAGCGACCGTGGAACCAATTTCCAAGCTGCTAGCAAGGAACTCAAAGCAGCAATGGAGCTACTCGACCATGACAAGCTAGCGAACGAATTCACTTCAAGCTGCACTCAGTGGACCTTCATCCCACCGGGTTCGCCACATATGGGTGGAGCGTGGGAACGGCTGATTCGCAGCGTCAAGCTGAACCTAGCTAAAGTACAAACTAGCAGACTACCTACCGACGAAGTGTTGCAGAATGCGTTGGTGGAAGTTGAAAATACCATCAACTCACGACCACTGACCGACATTCCTGTAGATGACGATGAATCGCCCGTTTTGACGCCCAACCATTTTCTGCTGGGGTCAGCAAATGGCTTAAGGTCGTGGGTTCCCATCGATGACAGTCCTGTGATGCGGAGGAACTGTTGGGCTCAGTCTCAGATCATGGCTGACATGTTCTGGAAGCAGTGGGTAAGAGATTATCTGCCCACCATTACGCGTAGAACCAAGTGGTTTACACCAGCGAAACCAATCACTGTTGGAGATATCGTAGTGATCGTCGATCCGAAGCTGTCCCGAAATTGTTGGCCTAAGGGTAGAGTTATCGCTACGCATCAAGCTCCCGATGGACAGGTACGTTGGGCAACCGTACAAACAGCGTCTGGTGGAATATACGAGCGCCCGGCGGTTTCATTGGCTGTGCTCGACGTAGGCGTTAGGACGAATACGCTATTGGATGATCCTTCGCGCATTCCGGGGGGAGTGTTGACTACGCCCCGTCAGAATCAAACGTGACCGTGCCCACATTTAACGCTCCGCTACTGTACGCCACACCCAGCGCTGGTCAAGGGATTAATAGCACTACGAATGAATCATCACCCGAAGAGATGCAAAATAACAACAAAGCGGCCATCGTTAAATCAAATTAATCTACAGTTTTTTTTTTGTTAAACGACAATTAAGTACTTAATACTAAATTGGTTATTCCTAAATTTACGGAAATTTGAACTATCATCTACTGAATTGTTCGGATTAAGCTAAATTTAGGTGAGTTATTTACAAGATAATGATATAAGAGTGAAAATATCGTATAATACTACATCTAGACGAAAAGGAGGTTATTCAATGAGAACCAGGCTTTGAACAGCCCGTAATGACGAATGCCATTGTACTGTCGTTAGCTCATAGGTGAGAAATTCCTTAATTCTATAGCTATTTAAATACTAAACGAATATTATATACACAAACACAGGTCGTTAGCTGCGGGATATTCGAATATTACAGTTGTTAGAGAAACTAGAAACACTAAAAGTAAGATTAACTTAAACTTAATTGATTAATCTGCTGACATTACCAGTAAAAACTGTTTCATTCTTAGGAATTTTATAATTTACAACATCGACGGATTAAATTCATGGAATTTAGTTTCTTGTTTCACTCTCTCAACAACAGGTGTGTTTATTTGTGTATTTGTTATGTTAGCATCAACAGACTAGAAATAGTCCCGATGATGTGTTGTAAAAAATACAGGTTATACAGACTACATATACTACAGTTACAAACGAAAATAACAAGGAAAGCATTGTAAAGTTACTAAAAATGTATAAGTCTAAAATTTTACGCTTAGCTGTTGGGCGTCAAGCGCCTTCGGTCAGCAAAAAAGGCATAGAATATTCGGCGATGCATATTCTGTGTCAAGTGGAAATCGAACATCGACGCTACTCGGTTGAACACTCGCTGCACGCCGTAAATAGCGCTCCCTAAGCTATAATTAGTTCGAAGAAGTGCTTCGCAGTCGATTCTTCCTTGCATAGTATCGACGACGGTTAAGGCTCTGAAACCATCTCTTCGGATACGTAAGGGCTCGACATTGATCAATTGGCAGCGATTCTCGTAGCTTGGAAGACGAAGTGGGTATCTCCAAGGCAGCTTACGGAGCGCGAAGCGAAGAAAACGTCATTTCACAGATTCAATTCGCTCGGCCCCTTATTGTAGTTCGGGGTCCAGACTGTAGAGCAGTATTCCAACGTAGATCGTACGAGAGAGCAATAGAGCAATTTCAAGCAGTAAATGTCTGGTGAAGTTCTTAGTAATCTTGCAGACAAAGCCAAGCGTTCTGGACGCTTTGTCGACGACATACGATGTATGGTGTGAGTATGTCAGCTTTGAGTCCAGAAAACGCCCAAGTCTTTCACGCAATGCACCCGTTCGATAGTCGTGCCTGTGGTAACATGGTGAACGTCGTCGAAGTAAAGGAGACATACCAATGGTCCCAGCTGGATACCCTGAGGTTTACCGGACTTTGCGCAGAAGCTTGCTGAACGACAAGTACCCAAAGTTATTGTCAGTTGGCGCTCTGTGAGGTATGAACGAAACCATCTCAAAAGATTTCCACCGATCCCTAGCCTATCAAGTTTAGCGATAGCGAAATTTCGTGGTTCAGCTTATCGAAGGTTGCCGTAAGATCTGTGTAAATGACGTCCGTTTAGGACCGAGCAATCAAACTGTCTGTGATGTAAGACGTTAGGCAAAGTAGGTTCGTAGTTGTGATCTATTTTAGATATTGCGCATTTAGGGACTCTATGATAACCAATTCAAAAAGTTTTGATACAGCACTCAGCGACGTGATTCCCCGGTATTTGTTTACGTCGCGTTTGCTTCCCCTTTTATGAACAGGAAACATATCCGCAGTTTTCCAGCAAGACGGTGTCCTTACAATCCACTCTCATTCCCCCTATTGTGTGAGTCGTGTGACTCTCTGTCACTAGTGACGTGACTCCATTTTAATTGCAGGGATTTACCTGACACAACGCGACTTTTCGACGCATCGACAAGAACGTCATCGATATGAATACGCTATGTACGTACAACACTGAATAGTTAACTTAACAAACCATGTATTTGACTAATACTAAAAGAAATGCATATATCAAAAGCTTAACTTACTGCTCTAATGCTACGTTCAGACTAGCTGATATTACGTAATGTAGACTGTCTTGCAATAGATATTGATTACGTAATATCTGCTATAGTCTGAGCGTAGTATAAGATCTACTTTCCCATATTCTCCTTGACCCAGGGGTGCTTCATCACATCAATGAGGGTAATTCGGGAACCACTCGGCTTCTTCAGTAGCTTCGAGATCAAATCCTTAGCCCCGGAGGTCATGAATCTTGGATAGGCCACCTCCAGACGACGAATTTTGTCATAAGTGGCTTCAGTAGTTTCGGACTCGAACGGTGGGTATCCGACTAAAAATTCGTAGCACAGAATTCCCAAGCACCACTGGTCAACGGAATCGTCATAGCTTTTTCCATCCACCATTTCTGGTGGCAAATAATCCAGTGTTCCGCACATGGTCTTCCTTTTGTTGGAGTTTGTGTGCGCGGACCAGCCAAAATCGGCAAGTTTCACGTTGTCGTCATCGGTCAGCAGGATGTTCTCCGGTTTCAGATCGCGATGGATTACGTTGTTTGCGTGGCAGTAGTTTAACGCGTCTGCAACCTGATAGGTGTACTTGGCGGAACGTTGCTCATTGAATCGTCCGTTTGGTGATGCTTTCAGGTGTTTGTATAGTTCACCCTGAGAAGCAAGCTCTAATGCTAGGTAGATGCGACGTTCGTCATGAAACCAGGTGTACAAACGGAGGATGTGCGGGTGCCTGAAAAAATATGGTAGATTATTAAAAAAAAAATCTTCAACCCTTTCCTTTTAAGAGTTGTCATTGTTATGAGATGCAAAAGTACGTTTTTGAAAAAAGTGCTGAAACAAAAGATGTTTCATAGTCTAAAATTGTGTCTGTGCTATCATGGGAAGGAGAGGGTTTGAACACAAGATCCAACACCCAAACCAAATAGTAGCACACAATAAATACCCTTGAACGTATCGTGTCAATAGAATTGAGCAAATTGCATAGAGTTCTAAATTGTCGATACTCACTTCAATCGGGACTGAATCTCCACCTCCCGGAGCAGCTGCTTCTCCACCCGTCCCTTGGTGAGCTCGGATTTAAACATCACTTTCATAGCTACCATAAATTTGGAATTCTTTTCACGAGCCAAGTAAACTCGCCCAAACTTTCCCCTTCCCAGTGGGCAGCCCAGCTCGAAATCGTCCTTTGTCCATTCGTATTTGTTCCCGTAAGCCGGGTGGGACATCATATTCACGATGACCTGGGTCACTCCGATGACATTCTCCGAACTGACGCCGTCGATCAGCTGCGGAAGATCGTCCATGGTATACATGCGCTCCGCGGTATTCATGTTTAACGGCACTGAACACTCGGTATAAAGTTTAAATTCCACAAAAAGTATCACAAATTTCAATCATTCGAGGTAGCGTGCAATCAACTGGAGAAACACGAAACGATTTTTTTTGACAGCTGTTTAAAATTGACATGGAAGACCTGATTAGGTCAACTCAGTAAGGTCAACAAAAATTCAGCACAAGATGCACTCAAAAATAATTAGGTTCTGCAGCGTGACGTCACAAATGAACTCAGTGTTAAACGGCTGAACCTTTTTGACAGTTCAGTGGTACTGTTTACAAGCACTTAGTCGTTTTTTCGAAAAACAAATTTTCTAAAGTTTCTGAATTTAAACTTGAAAATTGTCGAGGAACAGCGCGTTGCAAGGATGTTGTTCGTGAACATTGCAGAAATGCTGTGTACATCTCACTGCAGTCTGAAAAATTATCGAGAAAATCCACCCAAGAAAAAATCGGCTAAGTCCACGTAAACAGTACCACTAAACTGTCATCAGATTGAGGTTAACCCCGACGGTGCAAAACCTAATACTATTCAAATACCCCCTGCAGGGAAAAAGAAAAGATGTTTACACTGTACCAAAACATCATCCTCTGTTCGAATGAAACCTCAGGCCAAATCCCCGATCAAATATGTATGGGTATTTTGCTCGAGATTTTGCTTCACGATGTGTTCATGGTATCATCCAAAACATATATGTAATAGTTCAATAATTTAGGTTATCGTTCGTTTAAGCTGACAGTTGTTTTGTAGTCAGATTATGCTCGTGATAAAGTTTTAACCTTATGTATTATGATTTTTTTAAGAGGACCTTACTAATAATGCGTTGTTAATAAATTATTACCATTCAAAATAGTTGTTATCTCCATACATTTTCCGAAAGACAACTATATTAGAACCTTTTTACTTATGGTTTGAGAACTTTAATGGTTATGGTTATGGTCAATATGGTCCATGGATGGTTTTGTAACATCGATCAACTTTATGTGGAATATATCAAGAGCAAATTTTCATTATGTCGTAAGTAACATTCGCACCAATCCGAGAAAAATAAAGTTTTGTTTTGATGACCGAAAAGTTATTCCTATTTCCAAGTAAACACATATAATCTCATAGTGATAGCCTTGTTTAACATATTTAGCAGGGTTTTAATCATACAAATGCAAATCGCTAGCTTTCATGCTAAAAATACTGGTTTTTGAGTCAAAAGTTATTAAAGGGTGATACGGTCAAAATTTGGTCAAGGGAAAACGCGTGTAAATCGGTGAAATCGTTTATTTAAAAAATCAAATTAAATTTCTTTTTCAAGTTCAATTAGTATAAAATTCAGGAAAAATATTCAGTTAGGCTTCCGCTTTTCCAAATCCGAATTGCCGGGCCTTACGCTTGACCCCTGCCATCAGATTTTGTACAGCCACCTTGTCCACCTTCTTCGCCACAGAAAGCCAGTTTGCCTTGAACTGCTGCTCGCCCTTAGCAGTTTTTTTGGTCTTCTTTAGGTTCCGCTTGACAATAGCCCAGTATTTCTCAATTGGGCGGAGCTCTGGCGTGTTGGGAGGGTTCTTGTCCTTGGGAACCACCTGCACGTTGTTGGCGGCGTACCACTCCATGGCCTTTTTACCGTAATGGCAAGATGCCAAATCCGGCCAAAACAGTACGGAACAACCGTGTTTCTTCAGGAAAGGCAGCAGACGTTTATTCAAACACTCTTTCACGTAAATTTCTTGGTTGACTGTCCCGGAAGCTATGAAAATGCTGCTTTTCAAGCCACAGGTACAGATGGCTTGCCAAACCAGATATTTCTTTGCGAACTTTGACAGTTTCATGTGCTTGAAAACATCTGCTACCTTTCCCCTTCCTTTTGCCGTATAAAACTCCTGTCCCGGAAGCTGCTTGTAGTCGGCTTTGACGTAGGTTTCGTCGTCCATTACCACGCAGTCAAACTTCGTCAGCATCGTCGTGTACAGCCTCCGCGATCGCGCTTTGGCCGTCGTATTTTGTTTATCATCGCGATTTGGAGTCACTACCTTCTTGTAAGTCGATAGTCCGGCTCGTTTTTTGGCTCGATGCACGGTTGTAGACGATACATCCAGCTTATTTGCGGCATCTCGGAGAGAGAGGTTAGGGTTTCGCTTGAAACTACCGGCAACTCTCTTTGTCGTCTCAGCGGCTTCCGGTTTTCGATTTCCCCCCGATCCAGATTTCCTGGCTGTCGACAAACGTTCCCCAAACACTTTAATTACATTTGTAACGGTTGATTTGGCAACTTTTAGCGATTTTGCCAACTTTGCGTGCGAGTAGCTCGGATTTTCGCGATGCGCGAGCAAAATTTTGATACGCTGCTCTTCTTGCTTGGACGGCATTTTGACAACTGAAGAGTGAATTCCAAAATCAAAATAGGAGCAACATTCTACACACACACACACCTTCAAAATGAGGGGTGTTCAGGTTTTTTAAATGCAAAATTTAAAGAAATACGTCAAGTTGATATTGACCAAATTTTGACCGTATCACCCTTTATACGTCGTTTGGTGGCCCATATTGTTACTTAAGTCAAAGTGTATTTACCAGGATATTCGGGAGAATTATCAATTACGTCTCGTTACGTGCAGCCCATTCATCATTTTAGGACCACCGAAATCATCTTAGCAACAAACAGTTCGATTTATTCACTTTAATAATGAGAAAGCGAAACGACGAACGTACACTTTTCACGGGTTTCTCAGCGCTGTTACTTAAGTCAAACGGCATCTCCATAGAAATTGGGTGTCTTAAGTAACATCGAAAACTATTTTGATCGGAAGGTGATTACGTCAAAAAGCAATTTGACTGGTAAATAAATTTAACAATGGGATTTGATCCTATATTCGGACAAGTGTAATAGCAGGAGAATCGATTTACACTGATAGCTCGACTTTGTTTACCTTTGTTACATTCGACGTAATGAAAATTTGCTCTTGATATCGCGAATTGGTTCCCTGTAAATTAATGATCACCAATTACCTTTTTGTATTAGCGAGCTTGATGGTTGCTTGGATGCACGGCCAATCATACCAACTCAGCGACTAAGAATAATTGATTCAGAGAATTTTCTTTCCATACGAAATTTACTCAGAGCTATAAGCTGTGAGTAACTGCAGTTTCTTCCAAATCTGAGAAAATTTCGTATGGAAAGAAAATTCTCTGAGTTAATTATTCTTAGTCGCTGAGTGGTATGATTGGCCGTGGTACACGAGGCTGAACATTAATGCATTTGACAGCTGGTTTGACACATTAAATGCATTAAAATTTAATTTCAGTTTACGAGCGCCGTTCGGTGCGAAGAGTAAACATGGCATTGTTTTGATTTTTTTTTTATCGTCAGGTAATGCATTTCGATCTTTTTGTAGACAGTTTAGCAGCTTTTTTGAACGGCAGAAACAGTGACGAATCAAACCTGTTAGATGTCCAATGCAAGGATGGTCGAATGTGGAATTTGCCTTGAAGAATACCAGGAGGGCGAGTTGGAGTTGCATCGGGAGATGTGCATAGTAAGGTTGGTGTTCCGGTGTGTTTTTTGTAATCGGGACTACGTGAGTAAGGAAGGACTGTGGAATCATCTTGACCTGCATGAGGTAAGAAGAGATCTATAATGATTAATCCATCGTAGGCAAAATGGTTTTTCTTGACAAAAGATTGCAGATGAGAGTAAGGAACTGCACTATCAAGAAATTAAAGCGAAACACAAGTTGCATCAATGCATTCTGTGCAATGACCAACGTGCTTATTCAGAGAATCCCTACTGGAATCATGTTCATGTAAGTATACTAAATGTACATAATGTACAGCACAATCATTAGTTTCTATTACAGGATGTTCACGATGGCTTCTTCCTGCGGTGCTCTGAGTGTGGGGAAAAGTTCAGATCTGAAACAAATAAGAATGATCATGCCCAGAGTCATTGTAAGACCAGGGATCAAATGGTTACCTCGGGCTGTGGTTACCTGGAAGCAGATAAGAAAGTCAGCGACATATTTCCTATTAAATCTGAGTCAACGATTTCTGATTCTGTACACTTTATACTATCGCAGGCAGAGCAGAGCAACCAATCAAATGAGGGAATTGAATCAACAGTGCCTAATGTGGATTCTCGACCGAATGAGTATTCGCGTGTTGACTTGAATGCTGCCAACGATACGTATAATAATATAATCGAGAAGAAACCCGAAGTGCTTCCTATTGTGAGGACTGAAGAGAAGGATTTGCCATTCGCCTGCGATATTTGTGGAATTACATTTCCCTCGAATCACACCCTCTATTATCATAAGGTATGTAAACCGATTGTCTTCTACAATCTGACTTCAAGTAATACAATCAAAATTACTTAAAACAGAGGACGAAACATGGACGGATGGATAAATGTCCTCATTGCCGGAGAATATTCCCGATAGAAGATTATCAAGCACACTTGTCAATATGTGAGGCAAATAGGATTTCGTGTAAACTATGTGATTCAACATTCCAAATTCAACGAAATCTTACTAGACATATGAAACGAATTCATCATGTTAAAAGAACAGTTAAAAAGACGCAAAAAAAGAAGCAGCCGTCACTTGTTCTGACATTCACTTGTGATATTTGCGGCAATACATTTTCCTCTTACCAGCATGTCCAATATCATAAGGTATATATTATTGTATGATTTGCATTATTCTCACATTAACTTTCACTATGTAATGCGTTCTTTATTGCTCAAATAGAGGAAGGACCATGGACGGAAGCATAAATGTCCTCATTGTCGGAGCTTATTCCAGATAGAAGAATATCAAACTCACTTATCATCATGTGAAAAAACGACAAGAATTTCATGTGAATTATGTCATTCAAAATACCGAAATTCAGTATATCTTGCTAGACACATGAAACGAGTTCATCGCGGTCGAATTCAAATGAAGAAAAACTCAGTTGTAGAAACAATTACGAGCACTAGTCAAGAAATTTTAGATTCAAGATTAAATGAGCATTCACCTGCTAACTCTAATTATGACTATGATACAGATAGTAATATGGCTAAGAAGAGCTTGCAGCAGCTT